ATGATTTATAGCAAAACAATACATTTATAGTTTGTAAAATACACAATGGTGTCTATGGAAGCAGCAATAACAATCCATTCAAATATATTTGGCGACGTGTTTTATTCATATCAGATACACAGTGTAAGTAACTATAAAGTTTACTCTATTCTTCTCCCAGTTCACTGGCCACTTACTTTCATGTATTTCGGGAGAAACTGAAGAATTCACGCGCTGTAACGTAACAAATCCAACAGACAGGAATCTCTGAACTGCGGTGCCCATCTCACGTTACAGATCAAGATCATTTATAAAGGGTTTTAAACGACAAAACAAACTCACTTACACGGATTTGAGAGTCAGAATAGAAGATAGTTGATGACATGGTAAGCAAGTTTGTTAATATTTAGAAATAAAAGCGCTACATCTGTCATACAGCGCTATTTTGGCTGTGGTGAACACGTGCCAAGCATGACGCGTCACCATGGAAACTTGGCTGGCGGGCGGGCGGGGATCGCGAATTAGAAATAAAGGCCTGCCTCTAATAAAAGCCTGCTTCAAATAAAAGCCGGCTACCATCTGCAGTTCAGGTAAATAAAGGCCCCGGTCTTTATTTGAGGAATTACGGTATATTGACTCTTTTGCCAAAGCGTCTATATCCAACGCATATGGCACCCTTTAGCGTCAATATAACACGCTTTGGTTTTGGGTAGGTTTAGGTCTGGGGTAGTGTTAGGGTTAGACCACTAGGAGGCGCCATATATCTGCGTCTCATATGACGCTAAAGGGTGCCATGTGCGTTGGATATAGACGCTTTGGCAAAAGAGTCAGTATAGTACGCCTTGGGATGAGAACGGGCTCCTTGTGCTCATGCGCAACGCTTACACACTTGCCTAATTGAGAACCTCATTACCGCAAAGTAGCCTAAATAAAGTTGACACAGACACACACCTATTCTACTTTTATTAGCCTACAAAATTATACATTTACAATAACTCATACACACTAACAATTATCACAAATATAATGAATAATAAAAAAAAATAATAAAAAAAAATTATTACATTCATTAGGCCAAGGCGCACGGGGTAAAAGGCGCATTTGACTTTATTCTCTTTTATACCACTAGATGGCACAAAAAAAAATCAGCTCAGCACTTTTCTTAACAAACGCTTTTCATGAAGCACTTGGAAACAGCAGCTCAGTAGATTATACGCTAATTTGATATAATAATTAATGTTTTTTAATGTTGTAGATTTATGAAGCAAATGAGAATCGATAAAATTATTGTTTATATTTTGAGACAAGGGTCTTGTTAATATTTTACAGTTTTGTTCAAGGTAATTAAAGCAACAGTTTTCCCTGCTGTTGGGGTGAAAGGCACAATAATGACATAATAAACAGCTTGCTGATTTTCCTTTTGTTGACATGACATGGTTAGATTCAGATGGAAGATATAATATATCAAATTGGGCATCGACCTTAGAGATAATCACCATATTTATAATGAAAATCATATTAAAAAATAGAATATTAATCATATTAAAATATAGGCTATTTATTTGATACAACTGTAAAGCTTTATTCAATTATTATGGGATCACTTTCAATGCTTTCAGAATCTTTACTTTTTAAAAATATTTTTGTTTCTGTATTTTTAAAATGAACATATTTTAATGACAGTATATTCATTGAACAAAAATTAATTCTTTTATTTATCAAAATTAACTGAAAATAGTACAAATGTTGCTAAAGTGGTTGTTTTGAGCAAGTATTAACTTAGACATTATTAAAAACATGTTATTTTATTTACACACATACACTAATTTTAATTTAAAAAAATGTATTAACATTTCATGTTGTCATGTGTTACAAAGTAATAAGAAAGTTAATTTTCTCAGACAATACGGGTATCAAGCAGTTATGATCTGTAATGTTGTAAAAAACAAAAACAATTATGTAACATTACTACCAGGAATATCTGTTCACATCTGAACGTGCTGGTTCTCCCTTCCTCTCATCTCAAATAGCTGTAAAATCAACTGATGAATGTTACTCATCCCATGAGGGATTTCCCCTGTTGCTTCACGTCTGTCCCTCTGACTCTATTACCCAGCTTTGTTACACCCAGTTCATTCATTATTTACGTGATGTTTTGGTCTCACTCAATAATTCAAAATAGTCACATGATGGTCTAATAACTGGAGTAAAGTTCAGAGTTAAAAAAATAAATAAAATTGTATATAATATTATGAACACACTCTCATGGGTAGTTAAACTACACACATAAAAGAAATTGGAATCAGTCACAACATCTAAAATACATGTTCCCTTATACATTCATAACAATTTTAACCTACCCACATAATTTGCAAGCTACCCACATGCTACACAAATTAAGTATGTGTTCTGAGTTTGTCACACCACAGAAAAATGTGTTATTAGTCACCCAGCCAAATTTGAATGATAAAAAAAGCCAGCAAGTACATAAAATACGCTATCAAAATCTTGAAAAAATGAGCAGTATTCTCTGCTCTCAAACGCTGGGGGCGTGTCCGCTGGCTGTGCTGAAGCCACGCCCACTCGCGGGAAAGCTGCCGTCGCCACACTCAACTCTACAGCCGAAATGGATGCTCGCACGGTGGGCACGCACTGCCGATGATGGCACCAGTTGTCGGCGCGACTGGAGGATGAAGGCCAGGCGGGAGTCGGTTCGGCCCCATTCACCAGTAACAGCGGATTATCAGTGAATCCCAGTTGTCTCTGATGAAAGTTTATAAAACTATCCCGTGTAAAATGATCACTTACAGAGGTGGGTTTTGGCGGTGATCCTCAGCTCTCCATCAAGGTGGCTCTTCACAAAATTAATCCACTTCTTCTTGATGTAATCGTTTTTCAGAAATGTAAATAAGTACACCGATCTGTTTTGTACTGATCCGGTGATCGCATCCAGGTAGTAACGTAACGCATTTCCGTGACAAAGGCATAGCTAGCTAGCAATATGTAGGCAGTTACTAATAATAGTACTGACAGTAACTCGCGAATGAGCGGCAAACTGATGTGAATGTGCTCTATAATATTGTTAGGAGCGGCCAGCCTCAGCGGCTTTAGTGCGTCAAGTAGGGGCGTGTCCAGGAGCTCAAGGGCTCCAGTGCGTCATCGAGCCCCGTTTTAGCCCCGCCCAGAAAATCCGGAAAATAGCAATGGTGAAAAACTGTTTAACGGTCTAACTCCACAATTCAGTACTTCACAGTTCACAGTCTTTGTAATATGTTTAATCAATACATTTGTAACATTTATAATGTGTTTAGAATTTTTTTTTTAAATTGCCTTTACAGGGACTTTAAAGTTGTCTGCATGCTGCATTTCCCACAAACCATTGACAGACAGGTCTGGCTTGCTGATTACTGTGTCGCTCGCAATTACTCTAATAAAACTGAATTATGTGTATGAGTAAGCATCATTTCCCAGACTGATAGGCTTTGCATGTGCGTGCAGTAATACAAAAGGTATGTATTGAGTGAAAACAAGGTGACATGTCAAATGCCTTCCAGGAAACCGTCATGATTTCAGTAAATCAGCCACGGTCTGCCCACACATTCTTCAGACGACCTCTAGTGGCCATCGTATTGAACTGTTTAGTGTAAGTCGACCACAAAGAAAATACACAAGAGATGCCTTCAGTTAACTCATCTTACACATATGGAAATAGATGTGATATGCAGAATTATAAATCAAGACAGAATGGAACTGTATCTTTACAGGATATGGCATATGTGAACCATACAGGAAGTAGTGTATATAATCTGCTATAAAAAAGTCCATCTGTCATCATTTACTGGATACCACTGTAATGTACACCTACACTATTGGTACTGTATACAAAGTAAAAGAAATCACCTTGGTACACTTGTATTCTTGTTATCATCACTAACTAAATATAGACCTATGTTTTGAAAGTAAGGACATAAATGTAATATGCAAACAGATGTTATTGCAGTTTTGTATCCATGCATTTATGTATTTTCCAATTTAGTAAACTGCTGAATACCAAAAAATATGAACAATTAGTACCATATATTAGGCTACATCTGTTTTAATTAAAGGATGAATTGTGAAAGTATGAAAAAGATCTAATGTCCTTTTTGATGAAAAGAAGCCTAAGCACACAGAAGACAAACTGGTTTGACTGAGTCTGGATGGATTTTCCTTCTCTTTCATATTTTATGCAACAACACGTGACATAATGTAGTGAGTTATTTCCAAGTGAAGACCAAATTGTTACTGGTGCGTATATCTTGTTTTTATCTTCTATAATGTATGACGTTTACATGTTTTCTGATTTGTGTCTGGTAACATTAGTGCATTATTTGATATGTGTACTTTTCACAATATCAGAAATGCCATTCCCAGACAAATGTATTTATATTGCAAGTGCAACTCCTGGATTTTCTCATACCCACTTGTCTTTTCTTGGTTTCATTTTTATTATGAAACCAATTATTTTCCATGTCTTATCTTATGTCTCTACATTTACATTTAGATTAAATAATTTAGCAGACGCTTTTATCCGAAGCGACTAGTGGTTTAGGAATATCTTTACCTCATAAACAGTTTAGTGTATAGCTATAGGCTACATATGACATCTATGATCTAACAAGCCTACAGTAAATGGCCTACTGACTACAGAATGATGCAATCTTTTTCTTTTGTCACGGTTTAGGCATCCATGTAAGCCAAACTTGTGAGGAATGAATAGTTGTTTTATTGTATTAATTAGCTATTATTGCACAACTATAGCTCCTCTTCAAATCCACTTGGAATCATATCGGTTAGGTTTCATTTGAAACAATTTCCCTGTTGTGCGTCGGAAAAAATTGACTGCGTCGAAACTGTAAACATCACCTGACAACTCAGTCTACCTGTGTGATGTCACCCTGTAGAAGCGCCTGCTGATTGGTGGATCTTTAAAAGTCCTTAAACGGTGCCTATACATGCCGAAGGTTCCAACTTAATCCTTAAAGACACAAACAGTTTGTCACCACTGGAGATAGGGCAAACATCAAAGAGTGCGAGAAATTGTAAGTCAAATGATCAATGGTTTATTCTAACATTTCAATGCATTCCAGTAGGCTACTGTTCGCATTGTAATATCGTATTTTGTTGTGTTTACGTTGCTAGCTGAATATAGGCTACGCGTGCCTTTACCATGCTATTTAAAATTATTTTTAATAGCGACAGTTCTTAAACGGGTAGTTCACTCCAAAAAAAATTATGTCTTCATTTACTCAACCGCATGTTGATAAAATCATATAAACCTTTACAATTGGTGAAAGCGGCAATTCTGATATCCGAGGAACGCTTAAAGGGGATTTAAAAAAGTGAACGTGATTAATCGCACGATATTTGGCCAATTATTAGAATTGAACGATTAACTTCTCAGTGTATAATGCACTTTTTCTGTTTTAAGATCTTTTTTTTTTTTTTTTTTTAAATTGATTAAATATTTGATAAAAAAATAAATGTTAATTTGCATTGTTGTTTTTTTACAGTATGACAGCATGGCATCCATTTCAACTGATTCCCATCACACCCCTCAGCTGCTGTCAGTTGGAGAAAAGGATAAGAAACGGTTGCTTGAGGTGTATGTTAAGCGAAGTCTCAGCCTTAACGATGGATCTCAGTGTCCTCGGAGACAGGAGGACAGAGCACCCAAATGGGTCGCCACCACAGAGCAGAAGATAAGAGATCACAAACATACATCTCTTAACTTGACTTCACAAGCCTCCATCTCAGATGAGAACATTAGATATGAGTCTGTCATTGAACCACAACTGGAAAAAAAAGAGATGTCTTCTGAGAAGAAATCCAAAAAGTGGAAAGTTAAAGGCAGTCTGCGTCGCAACGATGGCTCTAGTGGGTCTCAGAAGTCCAATGGCAAACCCAAGAAGTGGTTTCAAAATTTGGATAAGGCCAAGGAGACAGGAGGGCAAAGCAATGATGCTCCCCCCCAAACAAGTACAGTGAGTGATGGAGATATTCATTCAAAGACGCCAAAGTCTTCCACCGTGGAAAGGAAGGAAAAAGAAGGCAAGAAGACAAAGAAACCCACTGTATGGAAGACTTTCTTGAACTGGTTTTCCAAAGGAAGCATTGAAAAGGAACAAGATCATCAGAGAACTGAAGAACAGCTCCCACTTTCCCAACCCTCAACACCCCAGATGTCTTGTTTGCCTATAGCTGATGGTGACATCAACCTGCGGCGCTCAAAGTCTTTGAAAAAGAAACCGTTGCACAGGAGATCGTCAAAATGGAGGCGAAGTGGAGATCTGTCCGCTGCAAAATGTATGTATCTCAGATTTTCTCAATGTATGTTCAGCTGTATTATGTATGTTCTTTGCATTAGTTTGAAGCTTGAATATTTATGGGGAGAAAATTCTAAATAAGTTTTTTTCACAGCTGTTAAGATGGTGGAACCCACCAGCTCGTACTATGAGAAAATGTCAGAAGAACTGGAGAAAATTGTGCATGAAGTGAAAGACAATCCAGCCGATGACAATGCCACTTTTCAGCCAACAGACCAGAGTGGTGTAAAGGGTGAGTGTTATTATAATAGACTCTATTTGAATGATGCAAATGAGATGGGTTAAATATTAGGTAGAAAGGACGCCACAAACCATTATAGGGTTCAGCTAGTTTCCCCAATTACTCAAGACAACTGAAGAAGGATGAGATTGAACGGGTAGTTCACCATCATGTTGTTTCAAAACACTTTCTTTCTTTTGTGGAACACAAAAGAAGATATTTTGAGAAATGTCTCCATTGCAGCACGATTTGGTTACCAACATTCTTCAAAATTGTTCTTTTGAGTTCCACCAGAGTAAGAAAATCATACAGGTTTGGACAACTGAATTTAACAGAATTTTAATTTGTTAAATAAATGGCAAGTTATCACTTAAGCAATTCGAAGGTGTTTCACTAATCATTTAAATAATTATTTGCTCATTCTTCTGTTGTTCCAAAACCACGTGCTGTTATTTTTTTAGTGGAATGCAAAAAATAATTTTACATTTTCAACAATTCATAGTGACTATGAAGGACAAAAACTCTATAAAGTGCAATAAAAGGAGTCCATGACTTCTGAAGTAATACTAATTATCATTTAATTAAGAACTTCTGCTCCGCATTATCAAATCGGATTCTCCATTCTGCAAATTCTCACACAAAGGCTCCAGAAGTCTATGAACTATTTCTATGGTGTTTTTGTCCTTTGGAGTTTGACAGTCGCGCCACCGTAACCTGTTAATGTATGGAAAAGCTGGGTGAAAATTATTTAAAAAATCTTTTGTGTTCAGCGAAAAAGAAACCAGAATACAGGTTTTGAAAGACACATGAAGAGTGAATAATGATATTCAAAGTGCACAGTATCTTTACATTTTTCCATCATATTTCTGCAACTATAGTCTCACAAGAAGAGGTTGTCAGGAGAATCACAGAACTGATAAAACATCAAGGGGACATAATAGATAACAGGGTAAGTGTATCGCATTCCTTCTGAAATCACTAAACATTACTGAGACATTTTGTTTTAGTTTTGCAGATGTTTATTTCAGTTTCAAAACATGTATGCAAATGTTAACCTGTTCCATGTAATGTGGTATTTAAAGGAGGTCCACCCATTTCCTTTTTCCCACTAACGTTTTCTCATCTCCTGTCCCTCCAGCTGAAAGAGAACGGCACCGTGAGCACTTTTCTGGACGGGATCAACTATAGATCCTTCCAGCAAATGGCTGATCAATATGTTCAGTCAGAAGTTCCAAATAAGAAAACCTCCATGCCCGTCGTGGCACCAGAGCTGGTGAAGTTCGCCTTCACTCTGGACTTCACAGCCCAAGTCGCTAATCTACACCGCCAGGCCACAGGCCACATCATGGGCTTTGGGAACCAGTATCTCCAAGATCGCTTCACTCACATGAGCGAGAGCCATCAGCATCTCCCTGACATTAAAGCAGAGGATCGGAACACACAGAACTCTGAGCAAGAATTCATAAGCTTGTAGAAGCTTATGGTATTAATATTTGATTTGGTCGATCGGATCACAAGTGGACGACGCAAAATGCAGGTGTAAACGGGGTGGAAAACGCTTTGAGCTTGTCCACTTTCGACCATTCAACCAGATTGCTTTCGTAGTGTAGGTGCTCGTGGTCAAGCGCGTTCGGACTGTAGACTGTAAAAACAGAAGAGCTACAAAAGACCGCCATTATGGTAAACACACTAGCCAGGCGGCATTTTGGTTCAGAGGCAAATTTGGTTTGAAGACGTAAACGTAAAAGAAGTGGTTGAAAGTGGACAAAAGAGACGGATTTAAACACCAGGTGTAAATGGGAATGTGTCTCCCTCGTCTACTGGAGAGCCGATCGACCAAAACGCATCTTAATACCAGGTAAACAGGGCCTAGTTGTCAGAGTTTTACTGGATATACCTTTGAACAGCAGCAACACAAAAAAAAAGATGTTAAAATAGGCATTTTACACACAATAACCCAAATAGTTTGGGTTTGGTTAAGCTAGAGAAATCTTAATGTGGATTTTTATGTATTCTGCAAATGTTTGCACAACTGCATTCATTATTTTTTATTTATATAATGTATTTTTAATCTGTATATTATATGTCAAATTTGTAAACTATACTCTCTAAGCATGTATATATTTTAAATATGTTGTAAATGTGTATGCGGGCATATGCAGAAGGTTTACACCATAAAGATTAAATATATTGAATAAATATGTTTTGTAAAGTGTTGTTCATGATTTCACTTATTTTCTTTTTTTAAAAATGTGTTAAAACCAAATTTAAATTATTCAAGATAAAAAACAGTTAATGAGCATAGTAAATTTAGTTAATGAATGACAAAAAATGTCAGTAATATGATTACAGCCAACTACTGACTGCTATAGTTTTATGCTGATGTGTGCAATTTAATTTTTATTTTTATTTGATCCATCCTTAATTTGTGTATTTTTATTTTTTTTATAAATGCAATAAGCAATTTCAATAAATCAGGCTGTCCAATTCCAACTTGATAATGCATTTATTAGATTTGAACAATCTTGCATACATAAAACAGAATATGACTTTGGCATGTTTTCTATTACATGTTTACTTTATTCTTACTACTTAATTGAAATAAATTATTTAGTAATATTATGTACTTTTGCCATTTGTATTAGTCTTTGTTTTTTGGGTTTTTTTAAGAAAAATCCTATATAGTTTTAATTTAATTTATTTCAGTTAGTTCAATTTTGTTTAAGTTTTTTTAAGCTTAAGTTTTTCATTATATTTTATTTCAGCTTCATATCAATTCCCCGGAAACAATATTTAACAGTTTTAGCTCTAGTTAACAATAACAACACGGATATGCATATCTTTCCATATTCAGCGTATCAACCAAATATTCTACACATGCACTGAAAAAAAAAATGTTTCAACTTAAAAAAAGTAAGTGTTCGTGCTGCCTTACAATTTTAAGTTTAGACCACTTGAAATGTGAAGTTGTACTAAGTTGGATATTTGAGTTGACTAAACTTAAAATTTTAAAGCAGCATGAACACTGTTTTAAGCTGAAACAACAAACACATGCAGCCAGTGTTGTTGTTTTTAATCAGCCATTAGAGAGACTTTTGTCTGCAATAAATAACGCACTGTCCTTCAGTCTTCCTCTTGCACATCCATGTAGGAGATACAAGGAGAAGAGAGATTTACTTCTGCGTTCCTGTGCTTGTCCAAGTCTAGTAATGCTCTTCTGTCATAATCTAGCGTGTCCTTCTGAAGCTGTGGTGTTTCAGAATGGCTGTCCATTTCTAACTTTAAGTTGAGCTGCAGGAGGAAGGTTGAAGATAGTGGCTTTGCATCTGTAATGATGTTATCAGTCTTTTTGCAGAAACCGCCGGATCCAGCGAGCTGGAAACAGAGGAAAGATCGTTGTCTAAAACACAGAGGCTGGGTCTGGCTCCTGCGCTCCGGATGCTTCTTCCAGGTTGAAGTAGGAAAACGGCAGGACAGAAAACGCAAAGCAATAGAAAGTAAAGGAAGAGAGGAACATGGAAGGAAAGTCAAAGAAAGAGGGGGGAGACAGGACCAGGGTGCAAGAAATGGAGCAGGCGTGGGGACCAAAGGTGGAATTTGCAAAAGCAGGAATCTGGAAAAATTCAGGAACATCTAATTATGTAAAATGTGTCATTTCATGTTGATTACTAGTTCAATCATGTATGAAATCTTTGCTAGTTTTACCTGTTCGGCAACAGTCTTCTCAAGTGTGCGAGGGCGCACCGCAGGTGTTTGATCACTTCCTGTTTGAATTCCCTGACTGCATTCAGAGCCTGGTGGGGAAGTTTCTTCGCCCAGCGCAAAAATCTATTCACACACATATGCAAAACAACACTAGGAATGACAGTAGGCACTTAAATAGTTTTCTACTGATAAGATACTCAAACAAGAATATGAGCAACTGATCTCACCTACAGATGAACGAGAAGACAGTTGTAGTGGGCAGAGTGTACGGCAGTAAGGCATAGGATATGAGACGACACAGCAAGATGTTGTTGTGAAAGGTCCAGATGCCAAACTGTTCTGCTAGGTTACAAAGCAAAGCTGAAGAGAGAGATTTCATTTTAGCATGTGCATATTTACATGTATAGTAGGCCTATACATTAGACTGGATATAGTGCATAGTTGCCTCAAAAAGGTTGCGGACACTTAAGTCACTTTAAGATCTTGCATTAAACAATATCAAACCAAGTGGAATCTGCAAACAATTGCTGCTAGAGCTTTTCTCAGAAATAACTTTTCAGCTGGCACATCAAGAAGTGTAGTTCATGACATTAACTATGACTGTCTTTTTAGTCATCATCAAACTTACTTGTGGTATGTTTTGCTTGTAGGTTCTTTCAAATTCTGCCATATTTTACAATACAATTTATTCCTGTGAGTCAAAGCTGAATTTTCAGCATCATTACTCCAGTCTTCAGAGTCACATGATCCTTCAGAAATCATTCTAATATGTGGATTTGCTGCTCCAGAAACATAGAATCAATTTAGAAAAGAGTTGTGCTACTTAATATTGTGAAAACCATAAGTTATTTTCAAGATTCTTTGATGAAAATAAAGTTCAAAAGAACAGCATTTATTTGAAATATCAGCCTAAATAAAGTTTGAAAAAAATTAATAAAAAAAAACAAAACAAAAACGTTTGAATGGTTGTGTAATTATACTGTATTCATGCATTTTAAACATGAATTAACTGTTTAAATACTTGTCGGGGTTGTATGTCACTTGAGATCCAAAGGGAACGTTCTCAGAATGTTCTGGCAAGGTTCTCTCAAAGTTATGACATTCTTCCAGTAACATAGCTCTGGTAGTAATAGAATGTTAAAAGTTTTTTGTTCCAAGATTTCACAGTGTTCTCAAAACGTTACCACAAAATGTATTATTTATACATCAATTATTCTCAGTTTAAAAAAAAACAAAAAAAAAACATTTTAATTGGACGTTCGTCTACCATTTTGAAATGTTAGCCTACTACTTGTTTCAGAATCATCAGACATTTAAAAGTAACGTTCCCATAATGTTTGCAAAATGGAACGTTAGCATTAAGAAAATATATTTTTAAAACATTTAAAAAACTGGACGGTTTGAACGTTTGGAGAAAGTTTTTTTTATAACTTAATGGCAACGTTAGCATGTTCTTAGAGTAGCCTACGTTTTTTAGTTAGGTAGTGTTTGTCATCTATTTCACTAAAGCCGGGAACACACTTAACGACTGTAAAGTCGATTTGATACTTACGACTGATCCACGCTGTCGCTGAGTCAGAGACAGTTGCGTTCAGTCGGTGTTTAAAATCTGCTCCAGTCGTTGGAAACAGTCTGTAAGTGTGTTCAGTTCAGTTTTAGAATGTTTCAGCAAGTCGTTAAGTGTGTCCCCGACATTCGTCACAAACAACTTGTAACACAAAAGCATGTGCCTGACATTTGCCTCTCGTTCTGTAGAGCAGGTGGGATGGGGCGTAATGAGGGTAAGAGTGATGGAGGGCTCCCTAGTGCCCACTGTCCTTCATAAAGCTTTGCTCTTCAACTGCACAGCTAATGTTTTCCCAACTCCTCAATCACCCGATGACAGCAGAGAGTGTCAGTAACAAAGTTGGAAGTGCATTGCATCTAGAACTATCATGTATATTCGGCTCCTCACCTCTTTGTACCCATGCTGGTAGGCTGATATATAGTAACTGCTCCAGTGAGTTCAGGTTCCAGGGTAGATCTTCAAGACAATGATAGAACTCCTCCGGTAACTCAGTGTCTGTTTTTATCTCTTCAGAATGCTCCCCTTTGCCCCACCTTTGCTGCTCCTCCTCATTTATCTCATTTTCTCTGACTTCTTTTGTTCTCTTCATGTTCACGTCCTCCTCACATACAGATTGGCTTGGTTTATGTCATTGTTGCTAATGGATTGCAAGCATGTTGTCTTTTAAAAGATTTGGACAAACAAATTCTAATATTTAAAACCTAATGTAAAACATAGGCCTGGTTTCACAGACAGGGTTTAGATTAAGGCAGGAATGGATTAGGCCTTGGTTCAATTAGGACATTTAAGTGGCTTTTATAAACATATTTTAAGATACGCCAGTGCAAGTTGCTTTCAGTTAAAACAGCTCAAACATGCATTTAAGTCATAAAATGTAAAACCTGATAATTACAAATATCATGTGTTGTCTAAAGAATAGATGTCTTTTAAATGGCACAGATTTCACACATAACCCACCACCAGTTAATCTCAGTTCACCTCTAATCTTACATGTGTAAAAAAAAAAAAAAAAAACATGATAGGCTATACTTACATGATAGTTCATTATCATCTTTAAAGTCCTGGAGTGGAGAGGAGAGCAGCAGAAGCTTCTTCATTATACAGCAACCCTGATTTACTTTGAGCAGTGAATTAAACTCAGGCTTATTTTAGAGAGAGAGAGAGAGAGAGAGAGAGGCAATGGCCAGTCAGCATGACAGGGTTTTGCCAGTTTATGCTATTCTGCCACCTGGTCCTATTTTTACACACCAGAGACAAGTGATTGATGGCTGCAATACTGCAATTGACATCTGACCAACACACGCTCAGAGCCTTTTGCCAGGCACTTGTTATTTTAGAAGTCACCTTCCTCCAAAGGGTGATTGTTAGTGTTAATATATTTGATCTGATCTCAGTTTAATGTGCAGAGACAACTGTAAATGATCATGTTTCGTTTTGAGTGCTCTGCCTCTGACATGCCAACTATTGAGTCTAAAAATGAAATTATTTTGGAGCCAAAGTAGCCTGTTTCATGAACAACGGGAGATGGAGAAGGTGCAGTAGGAATGTTTAGGAAACAAGGATTATTTTTCAATATTACATTATTAATGAAGACCAATTCCTTGGTTTTGTTATTTATGACTTGAAACGAGCCTTCATTTTTCATGATCAAGGATTTATATCTAACGAACGTGACTATTATTTTAAACTTTAGCTGTGAGCCTTTACAATAAGGTTCCATTAGTTAACATGAACTAACAATGAAAAATACTTCTACACATTTATTAATTAATGTCATTTAATTTCAGCATTTACTAGAAGACCATTATTAAAATCAAAAGTCATGTCTGTTATTATTTAATGGACCTGAGCTAACATTAACAATGAACAGTTGTATTTTTCATTAACTAACATTATACCAAGATTAATTAATACTGTGTTATTGCTCACACAAAAGGTTGGATGCAACACGTTTTGGCAAGTCCTATTCAACTTAGATCAGTAACCACAAAAACGGTTTACCATTTCGCAGACAAATAATCATAAAGCATCTTTAAACACAAATGTTTTCCTTTTTTATTGTATTTTTACAGGTACAAAAGAAAGATTAATCAAAGAGGCCAAAGCCCATGTCTTCATCAGACTCCTCAGATTCTTCCTTCTTCTCTTCCTTTTTCTCTTCCGCTGAAAGGCAAACATGCAAATGTCAAATCACAAGTTTCCAGGTTATTTCTGACTTCAGACACAAAGTATTTTATCACTGGGGGAAATCAGCCGACTTCAGAAATTTAGTAAAAGGGAATGAAGAAGAAATTCTACTAATATAATCAGATCCGAAACAAAACAATGCCTCAGGGGTGACGTTCAAACTGCTAACGAAAAACCCCAGCGAAAGGGTTAGAAAATTGTGCAAGAGAATATTTTGCTAAAATTTGAAACGTAATGCATCTGGAAAACTGTAAACAATGACGGTGAATACAAATATCCTGAGCAGTTTTATTCAAGAGAACCTATAACATTAAAATGATCTTCACCTTTAAAAAAACTAACTGGACTGAAATAAATTGTTGTGCCTGGTGTCAGTATTACTGAGATAGTATTAAAGTTATTAATACTTTGCATTAGGTTTTTTATCATTATTTTTTTTTTTTTACATTTTCTGCTTTCATTTTAATTTTTGACCTACTTTTTTTGTTGTGCTTTTATAATTTTTATTATATATATATATATTAGTTTCAGTTTTTAGTTCAATTTAAACTATATGAAAATAGCTGAAATAAAATAAGTTTATGTTTTTTTATATTTTATTATAGTTTATTATAGTCAAGTTTAGTTTATTTCAAGTAAGTACCAAAAGTTTTTCTGTGGTTTTAGTTTTAGTTAACTATAATAACCCTATAATCAGGTTTATTAAAGTACCCACCTGCAGGTGCTTCCCCAGCAGGAGCGGCTCCAGTGCCACTAGCGGCAGCAGCAGAAACCGCCACTGCACCACCCGCTGGAACGGAGGCTAACTTAGAGAGGCCTGTGGAAACATACAAGTGAAACAACAAAAGAGTGAGTGTTATGAGGAACTCAAATGCTCACATGATTTTAATATTGTGTAGGTCAAAAGGTAAAAGCAATGCAGACTTACCGGCATTCATGACTTCATTGATGTCTTTGCCATTCAGTTCACTGATGACCTGTTGAGTAACAGCAAAAAACATGATTGACTCATTGGGGGATTTAGTTGCTGTACATGAGCTGCATCCGTGTTATTGAGTAAGAACAAGGAAAGTGCACCAGAGTTCAATGTGCAACAACACAGAACTGTATGGAAACCCTTTTTTTATTTATTTTTTACTAATAATAATAGATTATACCCAAGAGATTTATTTATGGCAAGCAGTGGAGAATAAAAAATTTATGTTATGATGAATGTTAAGATGTTTAATTATAAAACACTTCAATTGTATTAGGTTGATCATTCTGATATCCTATTTGAAAACAGGTTTATTAGATCCAGGATCCACCTTGTTAAGACGCTCATCATCGGCCTCGATTCCGACACTCCCCAGGATGTTCTTGATGTCTTTGGCGGATGGGTTGGTGTTGCCACCCAGTACAGCCAACAGGTAAGCGGCCACGTAACGCATTCTAGAAGAGAGGTTACACTTATTTATAACTGATTAATGGATTTGTGTATATGTATCCTCTATTCATATGATTTTAAGAACCATTTGATTAAATATATTGATTAACAAAAAAATATATTGAAATCAACATAAAATCAAAAGTCACAATTCTTCTTTTTTTTTAATAGAATAATATTATTTAATTATTTATTATAAATGATGCATGGTTTATATGCATCTTTGATTCATATAAGAAGATTTGACCAAACATGGAAATATTGACAAAAAAAAACAACTATATTAAATAAAGCTCCTAATATATACACAAAAATCTGAAATCTCAAAGAAATATTTGGTCTCACGAAGGGTGCTATAAGATTGGAAACATGGTTTAATTAAATATTTCTTATATAGGCTACTTAACTGATAAAATATTACATTAATTACTATAATCATTATAGTAATTAATTTCATAATTTATCAGTTAAGTATATAAGAAATACAGTATAATATAGTTAAGTATATATAGTGTAATGTAATGCATAAATTGAAAGTCCGGTGTTTACTCTGCCTGAACTGCTAAGCAGATGACTAGGTTTATCAAGCGTGTTATAGTATGCTTTGTTTAGGGTTAATGACATATGTATATTTTAAAACATAATTCAAATAACCAGAACATGTTTCAACCCTTCACGTCTTATTTGTGTTAATAACTATAATTACATTCGGCCATATTTCAATTCTACTCTGATTAGAGCGCAAGGAAACAAAATGGAGTATGCCTATATAACTTGATAAGCACGTGCTTACCGAGTGGAAATACAGGTGAATTTTAAATAATGAATACTAGCTTAAAACACTGTACCTAAACACACTTTAATACTTTCAATATATAAGTGAAATGTCAATGAAAACATACTTTAAGTCTGCGAAAGACACGAAACGTCGGTCACGCTGCAATTTCCGGAAAAGAGAGGACGAGTGGAGGAAAATAGCTGAAGAATAAAGCAGTATGCGATGATCTGATTGGCTGCACGATGCGCCCTGTCAAAATGGGAGACGATGATTGGGTAGTATTTTTTCCTCGTTCATGGCGTGCAAGGGTAATATTTGCGAATGTTTAGCAGTTTTACCCTACCTCTATGAGGAGTTTTCCTTCATTAAATATGAATTGTCTTAACAGTTGTGCTTTTTTGGTTTGTTTTTCGAATCAAAATCCCCTCCAGTTATTTTATTTTATTTGTTTATTTAACAGGGACAATACACTAAGCATTGTTACACATAGACAACCGATGCTGTGTACATAGGGCATATAGCATAAAGCTAGTTTGCGGCCCGCGTCCCTGGTTAGGCTTTTACATAAAATCAAAACATCCAAAAAACAAAACAAAAAAACAAACAAACAATCATCACAAGAAACAAAACAAATACAAATACACACATGTATACATTAACAGCTAACTTACACATTCAACAACACCTCATGGTGAATACAGAGATTTTATAATGAATGTATGAACAGCTAAATCTTCTAAATCTAAAAAAGTTTCAGTATGTAACTAAAAAAGTAGTAGAATTTGTATAACTTGGGCTTTTATCCTTTTGGTGGCATTTAAACCCGTCATTAAAGGGATAGTCATCCCAAAAATGAAAATTCTGTCATCATTTACTCACCTTAAAGTTGCTCAAAACCTGTATGAATTTCTTTCTTCTGCTGAACACAAAAGAAGACATTTTGAAGAATGTATGAGAACATACCCAGCAAACATGTTACATGGGGCCCTTGCGGGCAGCCCACTGTGGGCCCAGATACCGGCGTGAAATGGGGGGCACGTGGGGCCCCATAAGTCAATGAGGTCCATCAACTGTTTGGTTTCCGACAGTCTTCAAAATATCTTCTTTTGTGTTCAGCAGAAGAAAGAAATTCAAACAGGTTTGGAACAACTTGAGGGCGATTAAATGAAGACAGAATTAAACATTTTGGGTGAACTATCCCTTTAAGTTCTGACCTTGATACAAAGCTTTCTAATGTTTCATTAATTGCATCAGCTCTTTTCTATCTTTTATTAGTAGAGGCCAGGATAAAAGTATGTAGGCACAATATATCATATATAGCCAAAATATAGAATAGCACATATTTAAAGTAAAACAAACAGCTCAGGACATAACCACATTAAAAGTGAACAAAATCAAATAGACCGAAGCTTTTTATTGACAGGAACAAAAACCTCACAATGGCAAACACATCAATCACAAACCATTTACATTATAAAACAGGTTTCACAGCTGTACTGGTAATTAACACAAGCTTTAGTGAAAAGAGCCCTAAAATTGGATTCAGTTCCAATTCGATCTTGATGTATAAAGCAGTGGAACTCTGATCAGGGAAAATGAATGAATTTCCGTAATGTCTACAGTTCTATAAGCTCTTCATCCTTCTCTTGTGTAAAGAGATATGACACAGTTTCCAGAATAAACTCCAAGACTTTCCTCCAGCTGATCACATACCAAATCTTATACAGGAAATCTCCAAAGTGTACCATTAGGAAGAGTGCAAGAAAAATGAGAAAGATCCGATCAGCGTGGTGGAGCAGCTTCTCTTTGAATGTGCGTTGTTCCCATGGCACTGCGGCCCGAGCCTCACTATATTTGCCAAAATGGAAAAGGGCTTCCTCGTCACTGTTGATCTCCTGTGTCTCCATCTCCTGCTCCTCCACAGCTCCGTCACTTTCTGCCATTGTGTTCAATGCTCTCCAAAATTCAGGCCTTTGAAAATGTCTTTTTTAATGAAATGTTCAACTTGTGGAGACAGGCCTCTTCTCAGCGCGTGCTGAGTTGTGTGTTGGTCTTCCCTTTGCACAGCCGAAGAATAAGGCCTGAATTGGCAGCAGCTTAATTAGTTTTCAGTCTTTCTTTAATACCTGAAGTTTGAGAAAATACAAAGGATGAACCAATGAACTGAATGAAACTAATTAGCTGTAGCCATTTTAATTTTGTTGGTTAATTTCCACAGTCCTCCTCAAAGCTTCTGTGTGTGTCTGACTGAATATGGCAGGCTGATTATGAACTCGCACCTCACTAAGGAGATCACTGGGACTTAGTGACACTCAGCACTTTTTAAAATCCTACAGTAACAGATGGCAAGTGGAATAGATGCTAACAAAAGGTCATTTCTTTCTACATAAATCTTCTTAAAAGAAATAGAGTAAATTGAGTCAAATTCTGTCATTCAAACACCATCTGATTTATTGCACATTACTTTTCTTTACCCATTTTAACTGTATTTAGGGACACATTAATTGATTTATTAAACACATTAGAGAAACTGGAATTTCATGACTTTCTTCTTTTCTGCCTAAGAGTGGCATAACAGTTTGGATGCAACTATGCATACTTACAAGTACACATTATAATTATACAAATAATATAACTATTATAATATAAAGATGGGTGTATTATTTGTAATATGCAAAAAAAAAAAGTTTATTAGGTGCATACGTATAGTTTAAATCAAAGCATGTCTATCCAGTACTTGTATTAACATGATTCAAACTAGCAACAATCTAGAAAGACATCATAACAGTAAAGATCATATTTTATTGAATTTTCTTTAATCATCAATAGATTTTTTTAGTTACATTTAAACAATAAAATGTTTTATTTATAATTAAAATTAATTATTAAACATGTTAAATTTTGATTTTAAAATTTTATTTAAATTGAAGAATTTATTTTTTAATAACTATAATGTAGGCATCACTAAATACGTTTGCTTTTATTATTCAGCTATAATAATTAGGATCACATTTACAGAGGAAATGTAAGAATTAAAACATTAACATTATTCCTTTGAGGTGTGCTATTCAAAAAACAATGGATTATTAATGCGTTTATTAAAATCTGTAAATCGAGGTTGTACAACTGACTGCGAATATTAATTAAATCATAATAATAATAATAAACAGAGCAATTCCAAGAGGGTCCTCACACCATCGGTGCTCGGGCCCTAAATATGACCAGTTTTTCATAGACCAAAAGACATCACAAATTTTGACCCTTAACATTGACATACATTTAAAACTATTTATGCTAGCAGTCTACGAGCTAGTGGTTGATGTTCAAAAATCAGGTAATATCAAAACTGCTCAGATTTTTTTAACGTAAAATAATATCGGGGATATGTTAACCATAATACATAATTATATGTATATAATAAAAGAGAATAAAAAATTAAGATTGAATATGAGAGAAAAATTATGGATTTAGCGCTCCAAACAAACTTCGCAGCAACAATCAAAACAAAGAAACCCTAGGACCTGTCTCAGATATTTTTTTATTTTTCTGCAAAACAATGCACAGAATATGACAGTTGACTTGCTTCACATGGGCTTCGGAGGAGCTCTGGGAGGAGGACCCTGCAGGATAAAAAGACAAAAGAAAATGCTGAGATCCACATAAAAGTAACAACAATACAAGCATTGTAACTTTACTAACATACTACAGCTGTTACTTAAACTTAAAGGTAGGGTAGGCAATTTGTGTCTCTTCACATCCTGATAGCAATCAACAATAAAAGTGGTCTAAATATTAAAAGATATTCATATGTCTTCTGTGGGAGTCTCAGGACCCAAAATGTTCATCCAATCATTGCATATGGTCTAGCGTCACCGAGTGCCACAAAGAAACAGCAGGCACCTTACATACTTTACTTCACCTTACTTTACAGTTCCTCTTGAACCAAAACAACGAGCTTATGCTGCGTTCATGCCATGTCGAAATGAGATCATTTAAAGGGTTAGTTCACCCAAAAATGAAAATTATGTCATTAATGACTCACCCTCATGTCGTTCCAAGCCCGTAAGACCTTTGTTCATCTTCGGAACACAGTTTAAGATATTTTAGATTTAGTCGGAGAGCTTTCTGTCCCTCCATTGAAAATGTATGTACGGTATACTGTCCTTGTCCAGAAAGGAAATAAAGACATCATCAAAGTAGTCCATGTGACATCAGTGGGTTACGTTACGTAGAATGTTTTGAAGCATACATTTTGGTCCAAAAATAACAAAAACTACGACTTTATTCAGCATTGTATTGTCTTCCGGTTCTGTTGTCAATCCGTTTCAGTGACGCTGATGACGTGTGTCTGGTGCGTCCGTGTATTCGGGTTCAAATAAATATGTCTGGGCAAAAAAACAGTCTTCCTCTGTGTCGAAACCCTTAGACATGTTTGCGAAGGTTGTTTTGTTTACAGCGTGCGTCTCCCTCAGACTGTAAACGAAGCTCGGGCGCACCAGACACACGTCAGCAGATCTGAATGCAGATCTGTGCAGAATGCAGTGAATGCAGATCCACAACAGAACCGGAAGACAATACAATGCTGAATAAAGTCCTAGTTTTTGTTATTTTTGGACCAAAATGTATTTTCGATGCTTCAAAACATTCTAACTAATGTCACATGGACTACTTTGATGATGTCTTTATTTTCTTTCTGGACAAGGACAGTATACCGTACATACATTTACAATGGAGGGACAGAAAGCTCGCCGACTAAATCTAAAATATCTTAAACTGTGTTCCGAAGATGAACAGAGGTCTCACGGGCTTGGAACGACATGAGGGTGAGTCATTAATGACATAATTTTAATTTTTGGGTGAACTATCCCTTTAACGGCTTCTCTCGTCTCGTGAGACTTTGCAGATTCTGTTGTGTGTGTTCATGTGTTTTGAAGGAGGTGTGGCTTTGGAGACGCTCTGAAGGGAGGGTGGAGTCTCATGTTTTCAAAGCTAGCTTGCTATTGCTAGCCTCTCTGGAATTGCCTACCCTACCTTTAAAGGAGTAATTAAGATGAGTCAGCTACAGAATTTCAAGGCACTTACGCCAGGCCTGAAGCGGGGAGGTGGTGTTCGGTCCTTGCGGGCCTCCCGGGATCTGTTTCTCACCACCTTGCTGTGGATGGCACAGCTAACACAGTAATGCAGCTTCACGTAGAGCTTGGGCAATACATATGCTACAAAAGGAAGAGCGGAAAACAGACAACCACTATTTTAATCTGGAAAGGCATACTAATGAGAATTGGTCAATGTTTTGGTTGTTAAAGCAGACACTTACAGTCAAACACACTAGCTTCTGAGATGTCCCTCACAGCAGCAGCCTCCACAATGTTCCTGATGACAAACTTCTTGATGGCCTTGTCCTTGGGAACACAGCGGGCACAGTTGGTGCAGCGGATGGGCTGGACATGGCCACGGCCCTTCTTTGCACGTCCGTTGTTCCTTCTCTTCTTAGTCTAGCATTTGAAAATGGAAATAATTGATAATTAAAATAGTATAGAACATAATTCAATTAAACATCCTACATTTTCTGACCAATGAACTACCATGTATTTTAGGCTCAAGCTATTTAAATTTTATTTTATAAAAATTCTACTTTGCCCTCTCTCTTTCTATACACACACACACGAGTAGGGTTGGGACTTGAAAACCAATTCTGGGATCTGATACTTGTTATAAAATTTTGATTCTGCTTATCGATTCCTGTGTGCGCATTTTAATGGGGCTTTAAATAAATCAAATGAAAGAAGATGCGAAATTCGGCACTCGTACACTGTTTTCTGTGCTGGGCAGATTCAGAGCGCGTACACAGAAGCCGCCTCTCATATAGTGCACAGATACTGAATCGAGTACTCTTTCATGTCTTCTTGTGCTTTAATACACACAAATTTGTTTCAAAATATCCTCGCAAACACAGCCAGAAGTAAATGTCAACGGATGAAGAAAGAAAACGCATTCAGTCTTAAAGGGACAGCAGCCTTATAAACCTGCTGCTGTCTGTGTTAACATTAATCAAAGAAAAAGGAAAAATCACTCACTGATCTTGACTGAATAACTTTTGTAACTTGAATAAGGATTAATCTATATTTTATTTATAAAAAGAAAACTATGCAGTGTTATTTTACATTTGATTCGAATTTCTGAACTTTGTTCTTCAGTTGTATTTATCTGTGCTATTGCTTATTTGTTATTCTATTACTGGCCGTGTACTTGTCTTTAGTAAGACATTTTGACATTTAAATTAGTCTTAGGCCGTGAGACAGAGGGTTGATTGGTACCATTTTGAGGGATTAAACCGCATGGTGATTTTTGTGTAGGTATATGACCCTGTATTTGAAAAATGTGTGATAGCATTAGATTCAAGGTAGTTTTTGGTTACGGAGGACGATTTTCAAACATATGTCAAGAAAAAGAATAAATAAATTTATCTTTAAATAAATTTTAAATTTTATTTAAATTTTATACATTGTCATAATTTTTTTTTTTTTTACACATTTTTATATATTTTTTTAAATTTTAATAATAAAAAATTTATAATTTTTTTAAAATACATTTTTCTCTCTTGTAGTCACTAAACACCTTATCTTGAGGTAGGATGATATAAGTGTTGATTTCTAATGAAAGCTACCATGGATCGGATGCTATCACACATTTTCCAACACTAGAGATGTGCACCTTCATGAAAATCAAAAGAAATGTAATCCCTCAAAATGGTACCGGTAGCCCAAACTTGGGGTCCCGTCTCATGGCCTATCTAGTTTATTAGTTGTTTCTGTTTTGTTTCAGTTGCAAAATAATGTTTTGCAAAAACACAGAATAAACATGTTTTGACTTTAATTTTTTAATACCAAATTGGAATTGAAACTGGGAATCAACAAGACCCATAATCGATAAGCGGAATCTCTAAAAATTAAAATGATATCCAACTCAAAATTTGAGATCTGTATGTGGTTCTTCTGATAGAATTGGAAATCTTTGAAATATCAGGAAATGACCAGTTTCAAATTTCCAAAAAAATTATTCTCAGGATTTCTATTACTAAAGTAACCACAAAGAGACCTTTTTTTCTTTTCATTTTTTACTTTTAAACTCAAATTTTCTAAATGTGAAATCGCTATTTCCTGATGGTTTTCCATTATGGTAACGTTATGTGATCTGTATATTTCCAAAGAACAGTGGAGATCTTTTTGCAAAAATCAAAATTAATTATTGGAAACAATTACTAAATTATTCGAGTGTGTCAATCTACTCATTTTATGTTAGCCTAGAAAGCCTGTCCTGGATTCATCAGTAGATGCTGCATCAATCTTCAGTTTACACCAAAGTAACTTACTGACAGGCTGCAGCGTCTTCGTAAATATAAGTTACGGAAGTAACGCAACGTATCGACAATAACACAGTTAAAATCGAAGTCTTAATGGCAATATGGCATATTTAATATAAATTAAATGTCAGTATTTTGCTTTATATACACACACAACACCAGCCCTGTCCATGCCGCGTGCTACTGAAGAGGAAGGCACATGCTAAACATCACCAGAAACTTCTAACTTAAACCGTCTAATAATCCCGATATAGTGGCCAGTATTTCATGAAATCAGATACGTTACTAACTATACTCGGTGATCACGTAGTTTTCTTGACTATATAAAGGAGTTTCCATATACTAAACCATATTCACGGATCAATCGCGAACACTAAAGTCTCACCATCTTGAACGGGAGGCAGGAAAGAGGACCGGAAAAGGCTAACCGGAAGTAAAACATTTCTCTGCTACACAACAAAAGTCTTCTGAACGAAAATACTGATTTTATGTGATGCATTGCAAGGCTAGAAATATAAACGTTTAATTGAGGTATACAATTTGAATATATACTTAAAATTGAAATATATATTATATATGAATGAAAGGGGGAAATAAAAAGATTATATTGTATTCATATGTTATGCAATGTCCATTGTAGTGGACACCAGGACTCAGTTGCTTAAAAAATAGAATGACAAGAAATGACACGTACAGGCAAAAACAATGAGATTTGTTATATTCACAAATCAGTTTTTAAGTTTTGTGCAATGATGATTCTCTACTATGTTATGAAAGATATAACGGAATAAATTGATATACCATTTTACTTGGCCATAAATGCCATTCCCATTCAATACAATGTATCTACATTATGTAATTTGCATATTAATGTGTTCTAGGGGCAACATGTAATAAAAAAAAAAAAAAGAAGTGTAATAATGCGAGTAATAATTATTCAACATTTTCCTAATATTTCATAGGAATATTGATATATATATATTATTTCCATATTCACTTCTTGTGTCTCCCAAAATGCCTGATAAACATGATTTAAGTACTGGTGTCCACTACAGTGTTTTGTAACAGAAAGTCATATATTGATTAGTAACCCATATCATTTTCCTGAGATGTTGATTTATGACAAACTATTTGAAAATGAGTCTGATTTAAATAACAACAAAACATTATCATATTTCCATAAGAGTGCTAAATCTGATCACTAAATTAATGTCAGCCATTTTTAAAAGACCAAGGAGAAGCTGTTGTCATGGTGAAACCTTCAAACATTTGGTATCTGAATGTGCACTTTACAGGACATCCAGACTTAAAACTAAGACATGTGTGGTGTCAGAAAAATTGTGCCTAAAATATAATGTCTTCTACAGTCGACAAAAGTCTATTCGTGGGTCCCAGAAGAATTAATCAGCCTTAATTATGTATACACAATATAAAACTACTATTATTATAATATAATCAGACTAATCGGTGTATTACGCAAAAATCCAGCAGGGGTAGAGTTGTTATGATTTTTTGCTCTATTAAATGTATTAAATGTAATTTAATTATAGGACTTGGAAATATGTTGACTGGAGCACACACGCTCCTTATTGTGAAAAGTGCTTAAGAATCAATCGACTTGGTGAGTTTTAACTGAAACGTCTTCAAAATAAAGGGCACAACTGAGAAATGATATCAAATTTATATTATTTTAATTAACGAATACTAAAAATAACAATACATAAACTGTTTTTAAAAGAGATGCACAGAAAAATTACAAATGTTGTAACCTGAAAGGTTAGGATATAAAATCTTTGAACATGATACATTGAGAAGTATACAATGGGGGGGAAATCAAATCTTGAATCTTAATATTGTAACAATATGAGAAAACTAGTGGATCAGTACATATGCAATATGCAGACATATGAAGTGGTTTCGTTGACATATCAGTGATGTCAGTGCCTCAGTAAATCAAACAGGAGAATTTATTGGGGAAAATATAACAATCTAACAAAATAGAAATCTATCAACATGGTGCATATGAAAAAAATAAACAAACAAAGAGGACACACAGATGCATGCACACAAACACACATGGGAACACAAGGAAAACAACTTCGCCCATTATACAATTCCAAACCAAGTATCGCCACAGAAAAAAAAGAAAAAAAAAGAAAGACTGGCCTTGAATCCTGTAGATATAGTCAATAAAATCATATCAATTTAATCACAGGCTGTATTTCAGAACTAGACTAAACCTTTTTCTTTTTTTTAAAAACAATTCCATATACACAGTCCATAAACATAATCCATATACACATCTGTGAGAATAAATGCACTGGATCCGAGCACCACTTGAGTTTGGTCAAGAAAGTTGCCTCATTAAAAAAATCTGAACCACTGATACGTCATGATTCATCCAGTCCAGCAGATTTATTATTATTTATATATTAAAAAAGGGCCTGCAATTTACTTTCCATTGAACCCTTAATGATTAGTAAAGTGCTCTTGACAAAGTTTGCCCTCACGTGCTGATGTGGCTCCGGTCCCCCAATTGAAATATATAAACCATTAAAACAGTCATAACGACAACCGATCAGCAGCCAGAAGCAAGTACGCCCATGCCAAGAGCAGCACAACCATGAAACGGATGGTCCGCCATATCATCTTCGAGCACGTAGTAGCTTATTTACTTTAAAGCAAATTTGGGAATTGTGGAGTGCTTTGATTAACTTGTGCAAATGTGACTAAACAGTGTGCTTGCTTCATTGTTTTCCACAGACAACCAAGCAGCGCCCTCTGCAGGCCAGCTCATAATTAACCAATAACCATCATTAATGTCTTACTATAATTCTAAAGACTGGGCGTGTCTAACAATTTTGCTTGTACAGTGTCTAAATGTCATCTAGTGGCTGTAAAGGTTGCTTGGAAAGCATTGGTTTACTCCTGACACCCCTCTAAAATACTGGCCCCTTTCATTAATAAAACAGCGAGGTATAAAACCGCTCTTCACCAATCAGGGAAGACAAATAGGTTACATACAACTGGATCTCACTCAAACACACACAGAAAAACGTGTACATTAAAATATCAGTACTGAAAGACAAAAGCAAATTCTTGTGAGCTACAAAAGGTTTGAGCAAAAAGAGGGAGGTTTTCGTCTCCCGAGCTCCAATAACTCGAGATGACGCTTGTTTGCTGTTTCTAATCGCTGTTTCCCACAACAATGCAGGTGCATTCTGAGGGTCAGGTAAACAGGTGGTTGGTAAATGCAGCACAGTTTCACTCAGCCTCAGCTCGATACCATTTTGCGGCATTGCAGCTTTAAAAAAATCTGAATATCAGGTCTCCCTGAGTTAGTAGCACTTCACTGTCAGTCTGCTTATGTCTTCTTAGTCCTTTTTGTATTAAGAAATCCACAAGAAAAGGAAATGGAGGGGGGAAAAAAAGTCTTACAAATGTACAGTTAGCTTTGGAGGGGCAGCTGGTTGCATCTGAACGGTTTTGAGAAGAAACGACACGATCCGCCTTTAAGATGCGTCTTGTGTCTCCAAATACTTTCTGCTGCCACAAAGGTGCAAAAGAAATCTTGCACCATTCAGAGAGGTGAGATGGTTGTTCGGTGTTTGAGGGTGTGTTTGTGTGTGTGTGTGTGGGTGCTGGAGGAAGGGGCTTAAAGTGAGGATGTGTAAGTGAGAGATTGCGTGGGCCTCATGTATGAAAAGTTTTGCATTCATTTTTAATTGCTTGACAAGGCAATCTCCCAATTTAACCATCTAAATGGCAAAAACCACTGAGGAAAATATCTTTGCACGGCTCTATTAGTTGTATTACCATAAATATGCATACATTTGCATATTTTAAGTATCCAATTTGAAATTTAGCTACACAAGTCGATTTTTTTAAATGTATAAATGAGGCCCATTTTGTGTAGAAATCAGAAAATGCATAATATATGCATATACTGTCATATGTGGAGCATTTTAGGAGAGGATAAGGATACATTGTGTGTGTGAAGGTCTTGGTCAGTAGTTCCTATTTGTAAACACTTGTCTGCAAATCCGTTTAGTGTTTTTCCTGCTGGTGCTTGTTCACATGTGCGGATTGAGCTAAAGGTGCTAAATGAGCGCTGCTGTGTCCATGACGTTCCTGTTGGGATCCAGTGTGGCAAAGAACCGCACGTCCCTGTCCTTGTCCATCCTCAGTTCGGACAGAGCCTCTTCCAGCTCATCCGAATAAGCACTGCCTGGGTCCTTGAAGTATGCTGAGATCAGAGCACACACAGAGATGGTGATCAGAACTGATGCCTAAACTGTAGCCGGGTTTCCATTACAGATTTGCACAATTTTGCGATATTTTCTAAATGCCGATAAAAAACTATTACGAAATGACGGCGTTCCCATTAACCGATGTTATGTGACTAAAACATCATTTTTTCCTCTCACGATATGTTATTACAAAAATCATGGCAACGGATGTTGGTAGGTTTACATATATCGCAGCCACCATAATAGCCATTATTTTTAATCGAAGGAGACGTAGGCATGTTATTCAAGCTTTAATGGCAAGGAAAGCCCCTAATAAAAGCGGCATATGAGGTGTTTCTGGGTGTTTCTCCCTCCTATCTGCTTCGAGGTCTTGATAAATTGTGGCATTTCTTTGTGGTTAAGAACCCAGTATTCCCGAAATTCTTTTGTCTTTTATGAATAAAGAACTCGGTTTCGTCTTCTGTCCAAACATACCGCACCATCTCTGAAGAATGATTGACGTTTACATACACCAGGTGACCTGTAAATGCAAAAAAAACCTTTCCATCGCAGTTTTGCTAAATATTCATTTTTGTCGAATTGCCTGAAAAACCACCTCATGCGAATGTAAATACTTTTTTACGACATATGCGAGTTTTTGTGAAACTGACGTGTTTCCATTGGGCGTATTCTCAATTCGCAATTTGCGCAATTTGATGGGTAAGGGAAACGCAGCTTTTGACACTTACACTAAAAAGTTACTTAGCAAAATATTTGATCTTTTGTGCTAATAATAGGTCACTATTTTACTTAGGTCACAGTTTCTTAGTTAAATGGTCACTAGCCTATAAGGTTCAAATAAATTAAAAATATAAAAATAAAATAAAAAGTCAATGGATTTGATATCACTGCCTGGAAAAAGTACACTTGACATCTTACATCTTGTACTTTGGACATTATAATTCTAGAAAGCATTTCATTGGACAAAAATAAGTATACACTTCATACAGGATATTACTCGTTAATATTTTTGTTCCATTATCCAGGCAGACGAAAGAGAGTAACTTTGAATTTAATTGTAACCCTTGGAGGGCCTAATAAAGGAGACATAAGTCTATGTAAAAATCCTGTGATGCACGCATCTTCTAACTTGTCTGTAAATTGTGTGCGTTTCTGTCTTACGTTTTTCCAACACGCTCTGCCGTAACGCCTTGGCCACCAGTACGCGCACGTTGGGCACAGGATCTGATGAGAGGCTGAGCAGACTGGGAAGAAGGTGCTGTGCAAACTGGTCCATGGGCATGCAGTCCTCCTCCACTATTGCCTGAATGGAAACAAAGGAAATGTCTCAATCGCTCTCCACATTGTTAGAGGTTTAGATTTTGCCTGATGCATATTATACAAAAAAAAAAAAAGAGAGAGCAGGTTTTATATAAATAAATAAAAATGTCATTAGCTTCATTCTGACTGGTTGACTAACACTTAATTGCACACTAGTCTATTATTGTGGTATCTTGATTTCAAATGTATTCATCCCACAATGTCATGAAATAACTTATTCTATGCAACATATTTATTATAAGTTGAAATTAACAGCAGCAATAATATGGCAATAAAAGAAGTTAAGAAATATTGCAGGACCACATGAATTTATATAAAGATGGTGGGACTGTAAATCCTTTGGATAATACTGCATGAAACTACAATTTGATGTAAAATGTACCTGGCAAATGAATGCAAATGCCTGACGTCCGACCCATTTGGGACAGTGGCAGAATCTCATAATGAGCTCATTAATGTAATTCAGACCCAGGTCATGAGCTTCACAGGAATACAACTTCTGCAGGATCACCACCACCTAAACACATTCACAAGACAAATCTTAAAGAATACTAGAATAGGTTTTCATGCTCGAAATGTAAAACAACAACAAAAAAAAAACACATAATTTTTTTTACATATTTCAGATTGTTGCAGCACCTTTGTTTAGTTCCAGTTTCTGTGAAGCCTCTCCTTCTGAAAAGCACTAATTGGTCTAATTGGTCGCTGGACCAGTGGGTTGTGATTGGTCAACCACTTCGCACTTGTTTCAGAAATCTCACTGCCTTTACCATAACAGCAAGTTTAAACTACTATCGCAACTCAACCAGGCCTCGCCCTTTTGCGCATGCCTTGGGTGAGAATTATTTAAATGAGGGATATTGTGATGTATACATTCCCAAGACTACAATTGATGCGTTTTAGGGAATTCAGAAACAGTGCGCACTGATATAGAGAATAACTTCCTTTGGAGGGACATTGTGCTTTGTAACTTTGCAGACCTTTTTTCACGCTGAAACAGCAACATTACACACTAAAGAAAGTTGAAAATGTAAATAAGCATAATAGGTCCGCTTTAAAACATTTTTAAGCACTAAATACATGTGCAGATCATCTAAAAAGCCAATAAACAGGTTTAAAACAGTCCAGTGGAGTTGCTAAAATCAGAACACAAATTCAAACAATACAGCTAGTATAAGGCATTGTAATGTTGCACTATTTTTGGAAACAAGCTGAAGGAAACTTGACTCACCAGTTTATAGGAGATCCACCGCACTTCAGACACTTTGTCAGAGCAAAGGTTAAGTGCAATTTGTCTGAGGTAGTCATAGATGTCGTTGTGACTGTACAACTCAATGATCAGGATAAGCTGCCTAAATACACAGACAGACAAATGCCACAAGAGTGAGATCACAAATGAGAGCTTCAAAAAAAACCTTTGTGTAACAAAGTAGTACGTACTCAGCTAGCTCATAGCGGAATCTCCAATTTCGGCTGTTGTCCGTCACCATGAACTCCTGCAGCTGATACAGATACTCCCGACGCTTCTCGGCATGAAGAAGCTACAAAAGAGAAAGCAGAACGATCTGTTGATGCCAGTGTTGTTAGGGGCATTGACTAACAAAAACTATTGCTGAAATATAAAGCTGAAATAAAATTGAATATAAATATTGGATGACAAAATGTAAACATAAACGAAGATTTTATTGCCTTGGCAAATAACTAAAATAAATACATTTAAGTTGAAGTTCTAAATTCATAAAAGTAAAATGAAATAAAAATGGATTAAATCCATATAGAAATAGAAATAAATAAAAGCCAATTGAAAATATTAATAAAAACTAACTAAACAATACTAAAATAACACTGGTTGGGACAGCCATGACATGCTTGTAAAATTTTAAATTCAACTTTTTGAAATGCATTTAACAAATCAGCAAACTCTAACAAAACGTATAACTTAAAAAAAAAAAGGAGCTAAAAAGGCGGGAAGGAAATGCACAAATTCTCTCAATTTATTATTCTCAAACAAGCATTTTTTTCCAGTATGGACAATTCAAAGCTCTTTGCATAAACTACACATTTTCTTAGTTCATTTTCAAATTTCATATTCTCACCTTCAAGAAATCATACAGGTGTTTGAGGACTCCTATCCGCACCTCATCAAGATCTTTGAGGAAGCCATTAAATATGGGCACCAGGTCAGCCGCTGTCAGCTGATCCCCCAGAATCACTGCCAACTCGTGGATAGAGAACGCAAGTGTCCGCCGCACCTTCCACTGTAACACATACAAAGTTAATTCACTTGACAAATGCAAAACACATTCACAGTACCGAAGCTATACACCTCATACCTTACATATTTACAAAACAAAGACAACTATAATCCATCAGAGTATGGTACAGTGAAAATATTGTTTAATTAATAATAAGTAAATATATAGTATATAATATAACATATATATTATTTATTTTTTAAATATATAAGGTCATGCAACAGTACTGTACTAACATTTTGACAGTTTTGTTAAACCTTGATTTTCCAACAACACCCATGACGAGTAATGCATAAAGAGGAAGTTTTACCTGTACGTCTGTAGCAAGGGTCTCGTACGTGTCTTTGAGGCAGTGCCAGTTCTGTCTGCCCAGCGTTAGGGCGACACCTGGCAGGCTGAACGCACAGTGTTTGGCGATCTCAGTGTCTACGGTCTGAGCTCGAGCGGGGTCTGTCATGGACAGATACTGATCCAGCAACTGCTGTGGAATTACATTCTGTGACGACAGAAAAAATGAGTGTTAGGAAAATGCAGAGTTCGATCAGTCAGATTTTTTTTGTTTATTTACAAAAAGAGTTTCTTTGTACATTTGATGTGCTTTTCATCAATGAATGCAATTTGTACAACTAGTTGACAATTAAGGCCAATGTAAAGCCATGAGATTTTTATATGGTAAAACATGCAAGTATTTACTGAGCAGTACATTACCTGGACTTTAGACTTCTCCTCTTCGCATGTTTTAACTTGTGAGTTGGTGTCTTTTTCTTCCTCCACATTTTCTATTAGGTCTGATTCCTGTATGCACACACACACACAAATGCACGTATAATTAACTCTCTACTGTAGTTACTTTGCCAGCACTTCCTTCTAATGACATTTGCATAAACCGATTTACATAAACTGCAGAAGGGGTTTTGTCATGCCATGCCAAACAGTGGAAGCAACATCAAAACCATTTAAAACAACATTATTCTCCTTTGATGATTGTTATGACCTCATATTAATTGACAGATTACATGGAATATTGGTATTTTCCTGCCTAAAATGTAGATTCTTCATTTGAAGGCTTTACTCAGGAAATATTTATATAAAATTAATTGAATTAAAAATAATTTATGGACAGTTCTAACAATATTAATAATAATTATTATTCTTCTTATAAAAAAAAAAATATATCGTTGTAACATTTAAAAAAAATTCATTACATTTTTAAAGTATGTAATAATCATTTATTTATTATTAATAATATGACTGTCTGAAGATTAAATATTTGGTAACTTTATTCTAAAGTGTCCTTGATAAATGTTACATGTAGTTACTATAGTAATAACTATAAATGATGCATAATTACATGCAACTAACTCTAAACAAAACCCTAATCCTAGCCCTAAAGTACATGTACTTAATTAATATAACTGGTACCAATACCTAAATGTATAATTTCACTGAAACAAAAACACCTTACAATAAAATGTAATCGAGTATTTTAATAAAATTACATGAACCTGCATTATTTTTATTAATATTATTATTACAAAATATATCAATTATAATGCCAACATTTAAAAAAGATTTAAAATGTTATAACATTAATTAAATGTAATACCACTTTAAATGTTAAAATGTAATAGATGACTTTTTAAAATGTTATACTTGTTAAAAGGCTAAAATTAATTTTCTTTTCTTTGACATTTATTAACTATGAAGTTGTCCTCTCACCTCACTGCTGTGTTCAGAGTCATCTACCAGCACAGGTGAAGTGGAGGGAGAGTCTGAGATCTGTGTGTCTGTCAGTGAGAGTTCACTCATGGCACTGAGCTCATCAGACGTCGGGGAGCCTGTGGAACCATTACTCTCTGACACAGACTCATCAGCATCTTCTGTTTGACTCTCTAACTGAGCAGCTTTCAGCGCAGCGGACAACACCTTCACTTGAGCTGCGAGTGGAAAGCAAACGGGGGAATGAATAACTACAATTCCCTACTCGGAAAAGAGCAAAAGAACATGAGCTCTTTTCACAATCACCTTGAACATCAGGATCATCTAGGTGGGGCTGAAGACAGTCCAAAACTTTCTGGATCTGGGAGCTGGTGGCTGGGCCTTGTGCATCTAAACTTGACAAGTTGTCGTTCCCCCCTCTCATGGTCCCTTCTTTTTCTTTCACCACATCTCTTTTCTCTCCTTGTAGTAGCCGCAGGTCTTGAGTAATGTCAGGTAGTGGGGGTCTCCAGAAGTTGAATGAGTTGAACATTGTGCAGTCGTCCATCTTCTGGTGGGACGAACGGGTTGAGCATTCAGGCTGGTTCTGGCTGGTGCTACAAGAGTGGCCTTCTGGAGGACGTGATGGTGGAACTGCTGTGTCTGAGGTGGATTGTAGCTGCTCTGAACGGGGCTGAATGAGACTGTCTGAACAATCATTAATGGAGGCATTGCGGATGTTACTCGAATTGCTGGTGGTCACTTCCTGTCTGTGGCTACAAAGACAAGAGGGGTTCATTTAGAATTTATTCAGTCATTTTCTTTTGTAAACACATTTCAATATGAAAAAGTGACTTTGATCTCTACACTCCTGTTCAAAAGTTTGGGGTCGGTAAGATGTTTAAAAATGCTTCTTTTTTCTATATTTTTCTTATGTTCATCTAGGCTGCATTTATCTGATGAAAAATACAGTAAAAACTGTAATATTGTGAAATATTATTACAATTTAAAATAACAGTTTTCTATTTGAATATATTGTACAATGTAATTTATTCCTTTGATGCAAAGCTGAATTTGTCACATGATCCTTCAGAAATTATTCTAATATGCTGATTTGCTGCTCAAGAAACATTTCAAATTTTTACCAATCTTTAAATCGTTGTGCTGCTTAGTATTTTTGTGGAAACCATTATTGATGATTGAATTTTTGATTTTGTTTGTAACAATGTAAATCTTTACTGTCACTAACTTAATGCAAGCTTGCTAAGTAAAAGTATACATTTTTATTAAAAAATAATCACACTGACCTTTACCTTTTGAACATTATGTAACTATTTAAAGAAGTAACTAGAAAACAGCCCAATAGGGTTCAGGTGAACCAAAAACAAGCCTAATTATACAGACCTTCCAGTTAAGTGGATTGATAATAAACTACAACAACTAGTTAATAACAAACCTATGCTGTTTTCCCTACAAACACAACCATAGTGAAGAAACCATGTGCGCTTACCTCTCTGAGGAGATCTTCGGTATCTCGCAGAGGGTTCCATCCTCACAGAAATGCAATCCTGTGATAGAAGGGTTGGCAAACGTGGAGATGAAACGACCTAGAGACTGGAACGCAGCCTGGCGTACCTGAAAAGGAAAAAAAGAGAGAAGTTCCCTTCCCTTTAAAAAACAGATCCATCCATTCTCCATACCTCTTTGTCCAGATCTAATTTCTAAAATGTAATAGATTGTCTAACATAAGTGGAAAACAGAAAGTCAGAAATCTCACAGGTCCAAAGTCCAACTCCGCATAGCTGCATACTAAACATCAAATAACCATGTTTACTTTCAGAGAGGACAGGAATTAGATGCTGAGTCACAGCATGTTAGAACAGTGTGTGTGTGTGTGTGTGTGTGCTCTTACCCAGCGTGACTGATCACTAATGAGGTTGATGAACAAGGGGGACAATTTAGTACGTCGCACTTCTGGAGAAGTGCAATTTGAAACAACCATGAAGCACTCGGCACAGGCTTTCCGGATACCCCACAGACTGTCCGAGCAAAGGTCGAAAAACTTCGGCATCTAAAGTCAGAACAAAGAGATAGTGCTGGTTAACACATTTGTCGTGTAAACAAAGTTCAACAAAGACCAAACAAACTTTAAGGCTTTATAAGATTAAGGATATTTTTTGGGTCTAGCACTCAGACATAATTAACATATTCATTGTGACTGCAATATTGTCATAAATACAAGCACAAAAGGAAAGCTGCAGAGGTCTCACCAGTAGTTTCTCTGTGGCTTCCTGGCCAACAATAGAACAGAACTCGCCGAAGTTTGCGGCACAGACCTGGTGGTGAGGGGAAAAAATAGAGGGTTTAGACATTTGCAATGAGGTCAAATTCAGTCTTCTGTTATGTTGTAAGCAGAAGCCTGCTGCAACTCAAGCAGCATTGCTTTCTGCCAACCCAGCACGGGTTTCAAAAGTAGATTAACATTTTTCACAACCTTTTCTACACAATATAGGCCTAAGCTTCATAACTGCAGTTATTTGAAAGACAGAGGTCACAAACACATTCAACATTAAGCAGCATTGTTTTGATCAGCTTGTTTTGTCGAGAGTACAACTTTATTGTTCATAGAAGCCATTTCTATCCATTGTGTTCTCAGGATTGTTACTTGTTTGTCTCATGATACTGATATAATCATGCATGGACTTGGAATTTCCACACTTTTGTAAAAGAGAAATATACTGAAATACACTACCGTTCAAAAGATTGGGTCAGTAAGACTTCCTTTTTTAAATAAATTAATACTTTCATTCAGCAATGATGCATTAAATTGATAATACAAAAAGTGAAAGTAAACACATTTATAATGTTAAAAAAAGATACTTTTGAACTTTCTAGTCAAAGAATCCTCAAAGAAAAATATATCACAGTTTCCACAAACATATTAAGCAGCACAACTGATTTTAACATTGATAATAAAAATAAATGTTTCTTGATCACCAAATCAGCATATTAGAATAATTTCTGAAGGATCATGTGACTAGAGTAATGATGCTGAAAATTCAGCTTTGCATCAAAATTGTATTTTAAAATATATTAAAATAGAAAACACTTATTTTAAATTGTAATTTCACACTTTTACTGTACTTTAGATCAAATATATGCAGCCTTTTATATATATATATAATATTTGCATTTACTTTTGATCCCAAGGTGATTATTAGTGTATGTGTGACATATGAAGTTCACAGACACACACACAAACCTGTTCCACTAACATTTAACAAATCACAGAATGACAAATACTTACATAGACTTCTGCATATCTATTGTTTATATTTTGTTCTTAACTAAATTATTGCAAAGACATCTCATAAAACAGTTCTTTAAAGAATTATGGAACATTTTGAGAGTATTACCTTGCGGACTTGAAATAGTCTGACGTCACAGCAGAGTTCACAAAAGCGCAGCAATAAAAGGTGTTCCACAGTGTCTTTAGTCAACATGGTCACCAACTTGCACATAATCTGCAACAAAACATTATCCACCATCAAGATCAATACATGAAAGTTCATCCCAACCCCATAAAACAATTAGCACAGTAACATAACAGTATCATGCAGACAGTACACAGATACACATTCCATCACAGACGGAATGAAGTTACGACAGGAAATATAATCTCTTCAATCCTGTGAAAGCTCATGGTTTACATATTTTTACTATGCGTATTATCCGCTGCCAGTAATCAGTGTGGCATTCTCTTTGACACAAAGGACTCACCGCTACAGCCTCGATCTTATAATCGTCGTCACTACTGGGTTCAGTGAGCTCGAGAAGCACAGGGCAGACCTTTCCCTCCATATCTGCCTTACTCATCAGACCCTGTTCAACTAGCACCAGCAAAGCGGCCTGGCTCGTCTTTCGCACCTAAGGGAAAAGCACAGACAAAACCGACTTAAATGACTAATCGATTAGTTAGTGTTAAGGAAACCCTGAATAATAAGGCTTTAGGCTTTTTTCCAATACTAATCAGATGCATTCCTAAACAAACAACACCCTTTAATATGAAAATAACAGATATTTAACAAATAAATACTACACACAATTATCAAAGTCTTCATTAAAAAAAACGGAACCCTACAAATTAAGCATAATAATGGGAACATTGCTTACTAGTCAGTTGTTGTCAGACTAGTCGACCACCTTGAAGCACTCCTACTCAAAAGCCATGATGTTTGTCAACCTTACTTCTATTCAGAAGAACAACTCAAAGAACAGCCAGTTTTTCAAGTGAAACTTACCTGGTTGTTAGGGTCTGTGAGATACCGGACCACAATGGGAACAAGGTACCGTGAGAAGGCTTCTGGGAAATTGGGGCGATTTTCATGGAGGAACATGGCAATGTTTGGTACCTGCTCCATCAATTCTGCTCGCACTGTCGGTTCTGTAACATCACAATATATTTATGACATTACGTACGTACCTATTACTACCACACTAGACAAGTCAAATACAGGTAAAAGCCATACAAACCTCCATCCTCAGACATCCTGGCAACCGTTTCCATGATGCTGATGAAGTCATTTTCATTATCACTGAACTCCCGGAGCACATCCAGCAATCCACGAGCGACAATTTGCCTGAAAATAAACATCATGCTATCAAGTACACCATAATAGGCCGCATGACATGAGCCTTCACAATTTATAAGCACAAAACTATTTGGAAAAAAATGACAGCTCAGTTTTTAATCCTAGAATAATGTTTATAGCATTTCCAAGTCTAAGCCAAGTTCTTTTACAATGACATGCCTGGCTCCTTACAAGTATTTTGGACCCAACGTCATCTCAGGTTCGCTTTAAGCACTTAAAGGGATAGGTCACCCAAAAATTTAAATTTTGCCATTAATTATTTAGTTATTTTCAATTTAATTCACATTTATTTGTATAGAGATTTTCACAATACTTATTGTTTCAAAGCACCTTTACAGAAAATGCATGTCCACGTTCCAATTTAGAGTGATCTGTTATCAGAGGTGACTGTGTCAAAGTAATGCGATTCAGAAATGTACATTTACAAATCGCACAGTTAGCTAATAATGTATTAATTTAAGGGAGAAACAATGAGCTCATTAAAGTAATGAATACATGTTTATTAACAAATGATGAGGATATATAGAAAAAAATGATTGTGTATTGAAAATTGTATTTTCCACCATTGTACCATAAAAAGTTGTATTTTTGGTATCAAATCTCACTTAAATTCAAGTGATAGGTACAAGAGGGACATTTTATACTACTCCTAAATAAACAGTTAATATGGCATGACAAGAAAAAAAAGCCTGAAATCCGTCTAACATAACATGACTCATAGTTGAAGACATCTCACCTGTTGAAAATGTTTTCACTGAAAGCATATTTCTCCAGCCGACCCAGAGGGGTGAGATTATCCTGGCCTGAATCCAGGAATGCTGTTATCCGAATCCCATCACACTCTGAACCATAGTCATCGAATCCAACTGCAAGACAGATTCATACAGACCGTTAATGACCAAGTATAATTTAATGTCCAGTTTGTTGGCACAGCCTCATGGTGGCATCAAATGTGAGACCTTTTACATTCAAACCAGGAATCCCTTTAAAATACAGAGAGAAATTCAGAGTGACAGCATATCTAATTAAAAAGGGGAATTTGTTTAATGAGAAATTATTTATTTTACAGCAAGAACAGTTAAAGGGATTTCATTACATGCAATCTGTTTCTGCCAGCAAAGATCACACTGACTATACTTCAACTATATAGTGTACAACAACCGGGAAAGATCTCAAAAGCATGACTGGGTCAATTAATTTTTTTACATAAGTTAAATAAGATTTTTGTTGTTGATTTTTGTTTTGCTGTTGACATTTTCATGACAATTAAGCTAATTTTTTATTAAAATATGAAGGTTTTATTTGTATAATTCCTATTACTTTTTAATTACAATTCTCTTACTGTGCACTAAATTTTCAATTCAAATCAGAATTATGAAAGTACATACATTTTATATATGTCAGTGCTGTCATATCGATTAATCACAATTAATCGCATCTAATATAAAAGTTTGTGTTTTTATATATATACGTTTACATTATACATACACATTTGCATATATTTATATATATATACACACACACACGCACCGACACACACATATATTATATAAGCAAACTTTTGTTAGATGTGATTAATTGATTTGACAGCACTAATATATATGCCATTATAATAAGATTTTGAGGGGGAAATGTGCTTAATTTTAATTGAAAATAACGTCACAATTGCAAAATTGTAAATATTCTAAAATGCACTAAGAGGGGGAAAAAACCCCTCTTATTTTGGTTGTGGGTGACACATGACCTAGACATGTTCTTGAGAGGTTTTCTAAGATTCACCCAGCCACATTGATAGAGAGATGTTGATCTGTAAAGTTGCTGACGAGTTCTGTATACTCACAGTCATCCATATCATCATGACCGTCTTCAAAATATAAAGACAGACCTGCGGAAACACAAACAACATTATGTTTAAAGACTGACAAGTCTACAGTAGATAAACTGACAGTTTCTAGCCATGATACCGTTACACAAGAAGTTGGGCTGTGCCTCACAACCTAGTCAGCCATCTAACTAGACTTGCATTTTGGGGCTTTTCAGTCCAGAAACGCACCCATAAAACCATAGTGTTAGCTTATCTCACTAAAATGTCAACTCAGGTGACAACAACAAAATACCCGTTTACCAGGCGACTATGTATGTCAAACACTTTTTATACTGGAGTCTGCAATAAAATACAAACATGTCTTATGTTATGACACATTATTAATGCATTTCAAAAGGTGACCAGCGAACAAAACGTGTTATCCGGGAAACGACCCCGGTCAGATTGGCTAACAAACTGACAGTCAAGCTCCTGTCAACTCAGCTATGTTATCTTCAAGTATTTACTTAAAAGTATAGTATATTTTCCATCATCATGTATTTAATACAACATGTGTTGTCTTGTTGTGCAAAAGTTCTTAATAACAGTAGGCTACTTTTATAATATCCCAGTATGTCCTGCTAGCTCCACAACTCGCAACTAGTGTTAATCCACTTAAAATTTCACTAGGCTCATGGCCTTTGTTCTAAAATACACCAGAAATGTTCAAAAGGCATTACGCGTCATTACAGTCAACAGCGATAACAGGGCCGATTCTCTTTAAACCGCCCCATAAAGCTTTAAATAAATGTACTAAAGCACGTTACCTGCCATCTTGATTTACAGCGGGGCTGTCACTCCACTTCCTCAAAAGATTTCCTGCTCTTATTTCAATCCCGGCATTTATATGAAGATCAAATACTTAAAAAACAGGGATAAATTCATCGAAACAAAACTCTTTTACGCGCGAAAATATCGTAAATATTTGTATCGCTCAACCGAACGCTCGATGAGAAAAAAAAATAAGACAATGTCGATCACGTGACTAGTCTAGCGACGTCCGATTCGTCAATGAACTGTTCATATGAGTCGGATCTTTTGAGTGAATCCGATGTATCGGTTCACAAAACTGGACTGGTTCGTTTATAAAACGTTGAATCAGGATTACAATATCATTTTCAAGTAAAATTATTCTCAGTGGCAATTCACGTTTTTATTCGAATGATCATGAAAGCAGTACAAGTATTACTATGACGTATATAATTAATTTAAATGTTTTATACATTTTATTTAATATTGAATATATGTTATTAAGATTCACCCAGCCACATTGATGGAGGTATTAATCTGTAAAGTTGCTGAAGTGTAAAAATGCACAGTCATCCAAATAATCATGAACTTGGGTAGCCTACATGAAATTACGATAAATTAAAACTGATATTAAAACACAATAGAATGTGTAAAAGCAGCCATATGTACCTTTATATGGCCAATAGGGCTTTATTTAAACGTTTTTTGTTGATTTTTTATTTTTTATTATTGGCTTTATTTAAATGTTTTTCCACGCTATGACGTAATTACGTTGCAAAAACAGTTTTTGAACGGTTCAATGAAACGAACCGTTCGAAAGAACCGATTTGCGGGAATGACTTCCCATAACTAGACTCGTCAACCGGAGTTCAAGATGGCGATCAGCGAGCAGCTATCGCAACTAATCGATCATTAATATACCATATCAGTCCTCATATTATAAGAAGCTTTACTCGTTATGTCAGTATTCCACGTCGCCTTCTTATACCGTCGTAAATCAGTGGATATCCGACACTAGTGTATAGATAGAGACTTTGTGTGTTTTTTTCTTACGTCAAATAGAAATAGTTGCTGATCAGGTTTATGAAACTATTTGGAATGATTGGGAAGTTTTCATTAGTTTGGAGGTCATCATGTCGCTAAGAGAGTTGAAAGTATGCCTTCTTGGGGTAAGATTTATATTCACTTTTTACGACTCGACGTTGCTATTATGGATTGCAGTTTTGGTGCAATATTTTTTGTTTTTATTTATCTTTTGATGATCAATCATATCTGTGTTATTGTATGCTATAACTTGCAATAAAGTGTGTCAGTGGTTTTACCTATTGTGCAAGCTTTGGGGATTTCTTAAGTATTACAGTAACATTTGTGGGATGATGACGTATTTAACCACCCATTCAGAAGTGGATGATAAATGTCTAGAGAGAGTTTAAAAAAATTGTTCAGTAGATACATATAGGCCGGGTGTATTTACTGCTTAAGGACTTCTTTGGACAATTTTTGCACTATTACCTATATTTACACATATATTGACAATAAATGTGTCCTTTTAGTCATGTGATTTGTAAACGGGTAGTTAACATGACGTCAAGCAGAATCTGGCAGTGTGGCATTCTACACTGCATATAAAAGTTTTTTTTTTCTAATTATAATGATTGTTTTATTATATTCAAAGTTAAACCATGTAATATTATCAGAACATTTGACAAAAAACATATATATTCATTTTTAATTGTATTTTTTTATTATGGAAAACTACATCAAAAGTGAATTATGTGTTTAATTAGAAACTATATATATGTATTTGTATATATATATATATATGTGTGTGTGTGTGTGTGATTTATTATGTGATTTTTATCTTATGTCCTAGGATACAGGAGTTGGAAAGTCAAGTATCGTGTGGAGGTTTGTGGAGGATAGTTTTGATCCCAACATTAATCCCACAATTGGGTAAGCTTACTGCAAAACATGCTTACTGGGAGGTCCGTCAAGCTGACTGTGATGCACTGTAAAATAAGAAAAAAACCTGCAAGTTTTGAAGGATTTGCACATAGCAAAACATAGCAAGCCGTGACACGCACTGAAATAGAAGATGTTTCAGGCAAAACAAATTGATACTTACTGTGTTGAAATGTCCTCTGGATTAGAGTCAGAAAGCATTGTATAAAAAAAAAAAAACTTGATGGATTATTTGCTTTAACAATGTTACGATAAAAATTCAATCTCTTAAATAAGAAAACAAGATCAGTTAACCAGCATCTGGGACTTCCCTGTTGGTGCTGAGAAGTCTGAATTTAATACAGATTATCTTTCCTTTAAAGGTGCCTTGTGTAAAAAAATCAATTCAAAATCCACATATTCCATACCAGATGGGGGCAGTATACCTCCAGAAAGTTGGCCTACTCTAGTCTGTTTTTTAGTTTCGGGTTGTTAATCTTCTAAAACCGTCAAATCGTCCGCTTTGTCCCACCAAAGCCTATTTTGATCGGTGAGTGATGTAGAATAGAATGACTGCTGCGCTTGACAGGGCTTATAACGAGCAGAGAGAGAGAGCGCCCCGGCCGCGCGCGCGCACTCTCACGTCTTCAAACAACACGAGCGCAGTCCTCCTGCTCTCTCTCTCCCTCGCGCATATTAATCAAATCAATTGACACGATCGTAAGACCGCAGTTCATTTGGAGATTTTTAGAGATTAGAGACTCAATGAAATCATCTCAACACTAAATTATAAAGGCCGGTCTCATATAGACGCTATTGACAGGTTCAAGTACGCCCACAAGCCGTGCGAGTTATTCGTGTATTGGAGTTTGGCTGGTGGTTATGTATGTTGCCCGCATACCGCCTCCCATGGCCGAAACTGGTATTATGACACCGGCCGGGCCGGGGCTAGTAATTTAGCATGCTAATTCAGGTTTATATCTCGGCAGCACTATAACTTGTCATTTTTTTAATGACATCATTGCATTTATTTCTTCTCATTCTTTTGATACGTGTAGCTCATTTGTTGCATATTTTTACCTCAATTTTTACATATGGCACCTTTAAGTGATTTAATATCCAGCATTGATTGTATAATGCAAGTTGCATCACAGTGTGTTAAAGATTTAAAGGGATACTCCACCAGTTTTTCTTATTAAACTATGTTATTCCCTTAACTAAGACGAGTTGATACATACCTCTCTCGTCTCAGTGCGTGCACTATATCGCTCTGTATTGCCGCAAAACTATGTTAGCACCTAGCTTAGCCCATGCATTAAATATGGGCCAAGCAGAGAAGCGACCAAACACTTCCACGTTTTCCCTATGTAAACACAGTTACTCGAGTAGTGTAACTTGACCTGGGCTGGTGACACAAAATAAACCGTTGCGCTTTTCTAAGCGTTTAAAATTGATGACTATATTGTATGGCGGAATACCATAACAAGTGCTTTTGAGCACTTCGACTTGGCGCAATAATATCTTCACTCGTGAAAAGTCCTAATGTATTCTAGTCCTAATGTAAGTCCTAATGTGAAAATATAATGTATTCTTTAGGCTATGTGTAATTTAAATTTATGTGTAATTTATCCTTCAAATCATTTAATTTCAGCCTTTAATAGTGATGCACCAACTGGGGTTCCCTGTATAGTTTACTGCATTAGTTGAGAGATATTTTATTCTTGAGGAAATTTGTACCTGTACCTGAATTTTTACCTGAGAGGCCCCAATTAATCAACATTAAACCTTATTGAATTTCAAGGTTGTGAATCAAAATAGAATCAAATCGTGAAATGTGTGTCAATTCCCAGCCCTAAAAAATATGGTTGCATATTGTTGTCTCAACCAATTCTAACTGATGTTTCAATGCATAACAGAAAACCTGATTTTTAAGTTGACAGGGGCATAACAACACATATAAAGAACATAAAACAATTTGTGTGTATCTGCACCTGGCAAGACACTTGTAAACTTTCTAAAGATGTCTATAAGTAGGTCCACGTGACATCTACACATTTTCTTATATTGTAAAAAAAAATATATTAAACAAAGCGTAGAGTCTTATTGGCAGCTAAATGCATTGTAAAATTTGCCAAAATAATTAATAGATGAGATTTGCAGATGTCTCAGATTCCATGCAGACCTATTTGTATAGTGTGTGCTAAAAATTATTATTGATCATGTGCATTTTATTTTCAGGGCATCATTTATGACAAAGACTGTGCAGTACCAAAATGAGCTTCACAAATTCCTGATATGGGACACAGCAGGACAAGAAAGGGTAAACACAGCAACAATCATCACTACACACACACACACACACACTTGGGTGACAAACAAGCTGTTTCACTTTTTGTTTTTGCAGTGTCTTTATAGTTCAGACAGAGGGCAGTATTGCATGCACTTCTCTTACTATAATGCAGGCATACATTTGAGCGAGAGAGAGTTTAATGTCATTCGAAAGGGGCTGGTTTTCTTCGTATAGCTAGATACGCTCTTCTCCCCCAAAATGTTCTACATTAGGAGAGACAGCTGAAGTGTACAGATGACATCTCAAATTTTGAGATGTTTATCACCACACACAATTTGACGGCAGTCTTGAGGGTGTTTGGAATATGATCTCCTCTCATGTTTGTCTGTGATGTTATGTGAAGCTAAATGTAGAATGCCAAGCGGCCCACACAAGCTGTTAGAAAATATAGTATCATACCAAGGGCCAGATTTACTAACAGCTTGTGCCAGTGCAAACCCTCTTTTGCTGTTAAAAAACTACTGTCAGGATTTACTAAAGACACGCAGTGAAAAATTTGCGCTGAAAAGGCGTATACAGGGTTCATTTTGCAGCTGAACTTATTGCATATGCATTTGTTCGATTTTCCCTTTCAGATGCAAAATTTATGGGAGAAGAGTTTTTAAATGAATCACGCAAGGTTATTTACTGAGGTATGCGCTATATATTCTGCACTACTTGGTTAAATGTAACAAATTTGTGGGGTTTGTCACATTCAGTTCTTTGTTCAAAATATAGACAAGGCCACATATTTCCAATCTTCACTCATATTGTTTTGCTGATATTATAATTTATAGCAAAAATAAAATCTGTCTTAGATATTTGGCTCCCATTGCTTATGAAGGTCTGAGCATATGGGAAAGTCTGACTTATCGAGCCTCTTTACCCTCATCTGGACCTGTTTAGCGCTTTGATGTATTCCCACCGGTAAAGATGGTGCAAGTTCATCATCGTGGCCTATGAGTGGTTAAAGAGGTCAAGTTTTCTCTGTTCAGGATGCTCCAGAGCCTGATGGGATGAAATGTTAGGCCTTGTCAGAGATAAGAGTTTGAGAAAAACAGCTGAAGCCAAAATCTGTCTCTCTTCCTTCCTCCCTCTTAGTGGAAGGGCTCTTTCTTCTTTCTTTTCTAACTTCAAGCTCTATTGTGATTTTGTGAAGAGAAGACCGTTCTGTCCACAGTTTCCTGTACTCCGCCGGGAGCTGTGATCGGGCTTTTCACTGGCTGTCAAGCAAGCTCTTGATTAGATAATTATCCGGCACATTGCTTTTTAGAACAGCATTGTTGAAACATGGCTTGTTTTGATTTAGAGGCTTTGGAGGGGGATTACATTGATCAAAAGTTATCGTAAAGACTTTTACATTATTACAAAAAATGTATTTCAAATAAATAATTATAATAAATATTCTTTGAGCACCAAATCAGGATATTAGAATGATTTCTGAAGGATCATGTGACTGAAGACTGGTGTAAAGATGCTGAAAATTCAGCTTTGCCATCACAGGAATAAATTACATTTTAAAACACATTAAAATGACTGTATTTTTTATCAAATAAATGCAGCCTTGGTAAGCATAAGAAACTTATTTTAAAAACCTTATATAATGTTTATCGACCCCAAACTTTGAACAGTTGAATTTAAAATGGGCGAAAAGAAACTCCATATTATAGCTTGTAAAGTGATTTCACGAGGTCTTTAAAGTTGAATAGTCTTAACGGCAAGAGACATTTGAAGAGGTAGTGAGTGACTGGAGGAAGTTGGATGAGAGAAAATCCAGGAGGAGAGTTGGAGAGGGACCACACAGTCTGGAATCCTGGGATATGTCTAAGGAGACATCCTGCAATTTTAGTCCAAAGCTCTTCCTTGTGCAGCAAATTTAGCCAAAAACAGCTATAAATGTTAGAAACCGTGTCAGTCAAACTTGATTTACTAATTTTATTGGCAAAAAAAGATGGATTAAGCATTACTCTGACCTGTTGTCTTAACTAAAATCCAATTTGTATTCAGCATTTTTATAAATTAAATAATAAACTTTGTATAAATTAATTTGTAGAGTATAATTGTTAAATAATTGATCTCACTTAGTACTGATTCATTGATCAGCAAAACCAGTTGAGCACCTCAAGCTTTAGGGTCCAAGTGGTTTTGTGTAAAATTATGTAAAATGATGCATTTTGCTGCATTCACTTTTATTGATGGTAAACTGTTAGCAGCTCATGTTGTTAATGAGCACAAACATGTTAATGTGCACCAATTTGGAGCTCATAACCTTTATTTGCCTAAAAATACTTTAATTTCTAAACTCTATATTTGATTATTAGATTATTTCACAAGCTAGCTCACACCTAAACTTTAGAAAGTATGTATAAAAAAAAAACTGCCAGGGTTTCTCATCATGTCTTCTCTATCTACCCTCTCTCTTAATCATTCATTTTATAATGCACTTTTCCGCTCTTTTAGGTTTTTTTTTCAGTGGAATGGCATACTGGATCCAGCTTGTTTTTATTAATCAGAGGCTTTTTTTGTCTATTTTTGATGACCGGGGTCAAACAAACCAACTATGCTATTTTATAATGATTAAAAGCTAACAACTTCTGACACGTTGCGCTCATCTTTCCCCTGATGGCTCCCACATGTGTTGATATGCCTTTCCTTGCAGTTCCTCTACTCAAGCTCCCTTGGCATGTCCGTCTGAAACACAATTCTCCTTTAGGTTTTAACGGTGGCTCACTTCTAGGGTTTTTCACCATGGGTTTCCCTAACCGCTGCCTGTTTGTTCAGTTTGAAAGGAACAAGTTGGAATAACATGCGTTTTGTGTGTGTGTGTGTTTGAGCCATCCTTTTAATTCAGCATGAAACTCGAAGGAGACCTCCGCCAAAGCGTACAAATTCTTTTAAAGCTCTGAAAATAAGCATATGCAGGTTGAGATTGGCCACTCGGCCCCTAAGAAGGGATGTTGGGTTGTTATCAGTGATGACTAAGTCTTTTTTTTTTTTAAGTTTCGGCCATTATTTTTCTCTGACATCTGCATGTTATCTGTTTCGCTCTTAGTTTCGTGCCCTGGCTCCCATGTACTACAGGGGCTCTGCTGCAGCTATCATTGTGTATGACATCACTAAAGAGGTAATGAAACATTTCTTCATTATTACTACACAAATCTTTCTGCTGGTAAAGCTATTAAAGGCATAGTTCACCCAAAAATGAAAGTTCTGTCATCATCTACTCAACTTCATGTCACTCGACCTACGTAAGATCTTTTTTTTTCCATGGAACACTAAAGGAGTTATGGGCTGTGGTAAGACTTTCAGTGAGTAGCGGGTTAAATGTCAGTCTGTTCCTCACACAACGCTATCGTATGGCTTTAGAAGACTTGAAATTTAGTGCACAAGTCATATAGACTACTTTTGTTGTGTTTTTGTGTGCTTTCATTCATGTTCAATGAATGGAAGACAGTCTGCTAGGTGACTCCTTTTGTTTTCAACAGGTTTCGAGCAAACATGAGGGACAGTAGATGACATAAAAGTTTGCTTGTCATTGCTTGTCTTGAAGATCTCTTCATCTCTCACTTAGGAATCATTCCAGACGTTGAAGAACTGGGTGAAGGAGCTTCGCCAGCACGGACCACCCAACATAGTGGTGGCTATCGCTGGCAACAAATGTGATCTCTCTGATGCCAGGTGAATTCCAGCGTCCTTGCCACTAAAGACTTCACATCCTGTCATCTCTATTCAGCTTGAAGGGATGCACCCGCAATGGCTGTCAACTCAATTTGACGTCGGGAAAAGACCCACATATTTGCTGTCAACTTGTCTCGACTCATTGAAAACAAGCTCGCACACGTACCGTTACCATAAGCATAACTTGTGATGAAAAAGAAATCCACTCTTCAGCGGTCTGTAATTTATCTTTCCACTTTAAATTGCTTCACTCTTCCCACAGGTCCAATGATATGTCTTGGTTCACCATTGCTTTCTTTGGCAGTGTTAGTCAGCTGTCATTGTGGTTGTATTTTACTTCTCGAAACCACAAAAACCGAGACATTGAATCTGAGGAATAGCGTTCGCACCGCAAGCCATTCAGGCAATAAATATCAGGGAAAATTCTTGCAATTGTTCTGTCTGGCACATAAAGCTTAGATATTTCTTTTTCTAGCACAAGTGGTGCTGTTCTCTGTGATCCACAGCCGTCATTGTTTCTTTATATATCTTTTGCTTCAAGTTTAAGAGGTTTGCTCCAAATGTAAAAAAAAAAAAAAAATCTGTTGCTTTCAAACACTGTCATCATGGAAATGTACTTGCTGATAACATTACCCCTACTTGTAGATCTTAATAGTATTCTTAAATTATATTAATTAAAAGCATAACTAAAAGCATTAATTTTACTCATACTTGAGGTTAGATCATTTATTAGATGTGCGATTTTTCACTTGGTGGAGAAAGCGGGAAAAATAGTCTTTCACTTTCACCACATATATCTATAGGGCTAGTATGCAACCAGTCAGAACACCCTAGCAACCAGTCAGAACACCTTAGCAACCACCCACAACACCTTAGCATGGTGCCAGTGACTTGCACAAGCAACCAACAAAAATCGAGTTGATCGAAATGTTTAAAGAAAACATCACTGTCTTGGCGGTTTATCTAAGAGAGCAAAGCGTCAATGGAAAATTGATCCATTGTCAGTGTGACCGGCCTGATATGTGTAGCACGGGTGCAATCTGATCAGCACCTGTGATCAGGTGACAGGTGCACAGAGAAGTTTACCTCCAACATGCTGCCCGGTGCTAGTTCTACACCACCATCACAAAAAAAATAAATGCATGAGTTTTACAAGGTTCATCCCACTCAGATAATCTCTCACTCAGCCACGGTATCTGTTTAAATCCTTCTAGTCTCAAATATCAATAATAATAGTAATAACATTTACTTGAGAGTTTTGAAAATATCAGAATTCTTCATTTATGAAACTGATTACTGATTAGTGTGGTATTAGTTGTAATACTGCAATTGCTACTGCTCTGTTTTACTTACATTTGTTACTCCACTCTCTAATTTCACCCATTTTCTGTTGCTTTGTCCTTTTGTTTTCCAGAGAGGTTTCAGAGAAAGAGGCCAAGGACTATGCTGACTCCATTCATGCCATATTTGTTGAAACCAGTGCCAAAAATGCCATTAACATCAATGAAGTCTTCATTCAAATAAGTGAGTATAATATTAACTAGTCATCACCGGTGCATTGTGTCATTAACAAGGCCAATTTAACAAACGATCTAGAAGCACTCATTCAGAGCCCTGTGATTTTAAATGTTATCATCTTCTCTAGATTGAGCTTGATCACAGGCAGGTTTAGTTTTAATAAATGCTGTTTATTGCAACACTATTTATTATTAAAATGATAATGAATGCATGATCTATAATTGATCCTGATGGTGGTGAGAATAGTGCTTCTGTGGATACTTGTTCTCGCCACTTGGACCCAGGGCAGTGGATGGGTTACAGTGGATACAGATCTTTTACCATGGATCTTGGCAGTTGCCCCGTCAAGGAGCAGGCGTGACACCATGCTTGTGACTTTTGTACAGACACTGAAATGGCTAATCATTTTTGCTTTTTTTTCCCTCATGCTTATTTTTATTGTCAATTGCTACGTTTACATGGACCCCAATAATCCGGACTAGTAGCACAGTCAGAATGAAAAAGTAAAATGTAACCACGTCAGAATAGCCTGGGCAAATCCGATTAAAATTTTATTCGGATTGTATGTGGTGGTTTGAACATTTTGTAATCCGATTGAGATGACATGTAAACACTTGATCGGATTGAAACCTGGAACTGGAAAGTACTGCGCATGGTCAGTGACGTAGAAATGGCATAATGACGTATGATGCACGGAATGAGCTGTTGTTGTTGTTGAATAAAGTGTCATGATAGTGACTGTTGTGTCATTCTAAAATTCTCCTTCCACTCATCGTCTTGGAAGTGGAGCAGGACAACGTCCCACCAGTCCTTGTTTCAGACTCTCATCCACAGTCGCCATGTTTTGGGCGGGGAAAGGGGCGTTTTTACTGCTTAATAAGCAGCACGGCACAACGGTTCATGTGCTCGCTTCCCCTAATTAGGACCCGAAATACATAAATACTAGGTCTACTCTTTAAAACAAAGAAAAGATGCAATATAGAAGAATTGTTAGTATGCCCAAACAGCGGGAAACTATATTTGTGCAGTGTGAGCATGTCAAAAAATCAATTCCGATTTAAAGCTTGTGACATAAAACTATTAATGCATTTAAGAAAAGATATAAGTTAAACATTATGGAAAAGTATAGAACACTAGAACATTAGAAAAGTAAGCAAAAGTGGATGCATAATATAATTTTGATTGTTGAAGTTTAAGTTCTGTGCTTACATGTTATCGTTTTTGGTATAAGAGAAACCGTAAAATTGTGTCATCTTTGGACATAGTGTTTTTGTTTTAAAAGGGGTTAGGCAAAATAAGTCTTGACTTCAGCCTAAACCCCTTCGGTCAGGTATTATTTAGCATTTAAATTCCTAGGTACTCATTTTGTATTTATCTTTCTAATGTATTTAAATTTTCTTTCCTTTCTCTATTTGTTTCATTGTTTTATGTTTTTTCATTGTATTATGTACAGGATTTTGACCTAAGATTTAATTGTTCAAAATGACCGAAGAAAATAACTAACTAACTAACTAACTAACATATTAACTCGCACATTAACATGATCACTTTATTTAGCATTCATGTAAACACTAAGATCGGATTTATCAATCAGAATGAATTCATTCTGACTGAAACAAAAGGTCTTCATGTAAACGTAGCTAATGTCATTATGCTCCTTTTAATTTTTATTTCATTTCCTTTATAGGTCAAAGGATCCCAGTTATAGATGCAGATGGGTCTGCGGTCAAGGGCTTCAAACTTCGTCGTCAACCATCAGAGTCGACCAGGGAACGCACTTGCTGCTGACGCAGTCGTAAACAGTTTGGCCAGATCCTCTCCAGCCTCAGTTTCTTTCTATTAGTAAACAAGGAGAATAGCAAATGAAGAATGTGATGTTACAGGGGAAGTTACGTAACTTCCTTTTGGAGCCAAATAAGAAGTTCTGTTAATAATGGAATGAGATTTATTGTCTGAATCCCGATGCAATGGTCACTTCTTTGAAAAAAGACGCTCTTCAGCCCCCGTTCAAATGTCCTTGGGGATCCATTTCTGTTCTAGATCACTGCCCAAAGTCAGACAGCAAAGAAAACACCTGCTTAACAGATCAGATACTCTCTCTCTCTCTCTCTCTCTCTCTCTCTCTCTCTCTCTCTCTCTCTCTCTCTCTCTCTCTCTCTCTCTCTCTCTCTCTCTCTCTCTCTCTCTCTCTCTCTCTCTCTCTCTCACACTCACACTCACACTCACACTCACACTCACACTCACACTCGCTCTCTCTCGTTCATTCTTGCAAAACCCTCTGCCAAACTCTATGAAGGTTTCAAGTAAAGCTATTGTCTGTCCGTCTGTACATTTGAAGAGTCTCAGCACTCCAAATGCAAGCAACACAGCTTTCTTGTCTCACTATTTTTGCACATCTTTGATATATATGATAAAAATAAAAATAAATATATAAATGGGCGAATCTCATGAAACCTGTCATAAACATATCCAGGTCACATTGCACTCAAATCAAATGAAAAATAAAACCTGAAATTATATTGTGCAAGTCAATTTAAAGTCTGTTGTTAGGACTATTTTTTAATGCTCCTAAAAATAGACCTCAGTATATTTTTCTTGTGATTTTGGGGGTAAAATGTGACATGAGATTGACTCAAACCCATATTTAATATTTACTATTATAGAAATATCAGTGTTGTATTCCTGTTGCATAGGATATAAACTGTCTTTCCTATATTTCGAATAGGAAAAAATAAAATTGAGTACAGATAGAGATAATACAGATTGAATACAGATAAAGATAACTCTGGGATTTTATGGTTCAATGATAATAAGCATTAACAAGAGATATCTGAGCCTTGGCCATTTTGAGATGAGTTTATGAAGTTATATTTAAAGTTATATATGAAGAATGTGCCAAATCTTTGCAATTTTGTAGTCCTGTACACTTTTTGTGACATAGTAACGGTCCAGTAGTAGCAGATCAGTGGTCAGTGATGTTGATGCATGAGTTCAACACAACCATCTGCATATTTTATCCATTTGCAAGTCGAGATAACAATAGTAACACGTTTTTTGCTCCAATTTGCCACATCCTCTGTTGCCAGATTTGTAGCTACAGATCCAGCCTGTTCTTGGACTAATAAGCAGTTGGAATAGACTTTTATGTTTTACAGTGTCTGACCGTTGTTACTGCTTGCAGTGCATAATCAGGGCATTAGTGGAGTTCAACCCTCACGCTTTGAGAGAAAGTTGGCCAGTCTTTTAGAATAGCAGTTTCAAAGTGTTAGATGTGATAACTATTCCAACTGTTCGCATGTTTTCCATATCAGAACTTTAACGTTAGTGGGAAGGAGCCAAATGCAGGAATTTTGTATACGGTGCGCTTTAGGCTTTTGTCCAGGACTTTGTGAAGTGTGCAGTATGTCCAAATAGTTTCTGAAATTGCATTTTAACCATTTGTGTTAGTTGGCAGTTGGTCTCTTTAGCTCCCATGCTGTTCTTTTTCATGACTTTTCCTTTTTTATTTTTATACTGGATTGAGTGATTTTGAGAGGTCTTGCCAAATGCCCTAATTGTCTCGTAAACATTTTTCATCTTTCTCATTCTTTCACTGAATAACTTTTGGCCTGCACATCCAACATACTTTTACTATCTGGACAGGGATAAAAAAGGAGCGTATCTGGAAACTAGTCTTGTTCCAGTAAGAGCAAGACGTCTAAGCTCTTCATCTTTAAAAAAAAAAAAAAAAAAAGCAAAGGGAAGTAATTATACCACATATTCTTCTTTGAATTGACCCCAAATGAAATAACTCTTCTTTGCTGTCACTCAATTTTTCAGCCTAAATATTTTCTCAAGAGGTCTGGCGTCAGTTTCATTGAAGAAACAGAAAGTCTTATTTTTTGACAATCTGAGAAACTTACCTTTAAAAGATTTGTATTAATGTACACACTATTCGTTCAAGAGCTTTATAACACAATGTGGTTGAGTGACTCTTTTTCTACACATGTAGAATTTAAGATTATCTGTTACAATGTTGCATTTGAGAATATAGAATAAATATGTTATGATTTATCAACTGAATACCCACAATGACAAAGTTTTATATACTTAAAATGTGATTCATCTAAATGTACACTTCAGTATAACACGTAACACCATCTTTGTTGTTTTTAGAAATTAGTATGTGGCTTTTGATGGTACTTTAAAAAAAAAAAAAATTCATGGATATTATTACATGTGCTTTTGACACTATATTGGCATATTGGAGTCATAGAATGTGTTTAGTGGATCAGAATGGATATTATGGGCAATCTTGAGTTTCAATTCCCGTCCTTTATCCTGTGATTCTATATGCAGTGCTGCCAATGCGCTATGATGTTTTCAGGAATTCACAAGTGCAATAATAATACTTTCCCCCTCCAAAATATGTGCTGTCAGTAATAATAGCAGAGAGATTTATAGACTTATTAAAGTAATTGTAGTTAATCCATGAATTTTAGCACAACAATATTTTCCTTTAGAAGACTGCTTGTTAAATTTAAAAAATGGCATATTTGGAACAATACTTGGGGGGAAAACTGCACTTTTTCAAAATTCCTGTGTGTCTTTCGTCCTAGTTGAAACAACTTGAAAAATGACCGTCCTAAGCATTCCCATATCGATGTTTACACAGAGAAAATCATTCAAATTGATTCTTTTATTTTCTTTCTCTCATGTCAAACTAATTGAAGAAGGAAACGGCTCAACTAATGTCACATGTTATTAAACTCTCTGAAGGGCCTTTACAATGTATGGAAATGCATTGCTAGCTCTAAATGTTGTAGAGCAGCTGTTTGTTTGTCTTGTACAAAGCCTGTGATCCACAGTGAGACCAAATGTCTAATTTAGTCCTCTCGAAGTTCTTGAATTCCTGGCCAATTGGAAAGGACTTTCTGAATTGCTTGTCCTCTTGCTGGGGAGCACAGGTTTTGCATTAATGCCTTTGAATGGAACTACATGCTTGAGTCGGTCGGACAGGATAATACGCCGTCTGGTGTGGTTTGCAGTGGTGTTTAGGTGGAAGAATAGAGCCAACAGTCTTGGGCTGGCCCTAAGAAAGTTGTGAAATTCTCGTTATGTTCTTTACGTCCTTGTATATACCACACATTGGATGAAATCTGTAAATGAATTGATATAGGCAATGTTACTTTACCACTTACCATTGTAATTCAGTATTTACAAAAGTAATTTAACCTAATCATTAATGGTTTTTACCTTGTCTCTTTTATTGTTTTGTCATGCAAAGAAGGCTTGAAAATAACATGTATTTGTTCATTTGTGAATGTGCAAAAGGGAAATGTTTAGCTCTTTATTAGTAATAAAATGATACAAAATCCATTTTGATTTTTATGCTTAATCAACAACATTGAGAATCTGTTCGCAGCAGTGCTAGTTTCTCCTGCACTGGCCCATGGGCTATATATACACATATGACACTTGTGGTATGTGTCTCCTTTGGCAGGGGGTCCCTGCTGATATTTTAATTGTGCTGAGGAAAGTAAAACGGCCCTCCAAGAGCTTGTATTCAAAACTGCCAAACTGAGCATAAATTAACTCCCCTAATTCAACCAGATGCAAGTACGACGTATCTAGAATCTTGGCTGAGGATAAAGTATGTTCATTCTTAGATATTCAGTTGGATTACTATTGCTTTCAAAGAACAGATTTAGATTTTTTTTTTTTTTTTTTTACATTATAATTAACCATTTAAAAAAATCATTCTCAAATCTACACCAAAATACTCTTCTTACAGAAGTATATATAAAAAAAATCGGTGGTTCGTGAAAAACATGAACAATTTTAGTTACCTTTTTAATTGTTTTGCAGTCCCATTTATTATTTTTGTGTACAGATATCCTATGCTTCTTAAATATAAGGCTCATTAAAAATAATTATACAAAATATATGAATTATATATTTTCAATTATGTACTTTTTATGATATAATAGGATATATATTAAATAATAAACAGTCTAAGTATTAAACAGTTTTTAAAATAATATTATTAATTTAATATAATTAAATCTTTTTAATTATAAAAAGTATTTATATTTGTGCATTTTTTTTAGGTAGCCTACAATAATTCCATGCTTCTTAAACATAAGGCTCATTGATTATAAAATAATTATACAAAAATGTATGAAATAGAATATATATATATTAGGGTATATATTAAAAACAGTTTTTAATTATATATTGGCCTAATATATTATAACATAATAAAAAACTTTTTAACTATAAAAATGCTAGCATTTTCTTCAGTGGTCATTGTAAATGCAGTTACCGTAACATTTTCATAACATGGTTCATGACAGATGACCCATAAAGACAGCCCACCCCTCCCTCATTCTACTACACCCTTCTCCTCACATCAGTCGCCACTACTGAGTACTGCAGGGGCAGTGACGTCACGGCCAGCCTCTCGCTCTCTCTCTCTCTCCCACAGTCCCTTCCTGCTGCATCACAACAGTCGCTAGTGGATCGGGTAACTGAGCTATTTCCACTGCCTTGTGGAGTTTTTATTTCAAATAAATGTAACAGAAGTCCTCATCGACTAACAGCCTCAACCATCAAGCCCGTCACCGTCAGTCCGAGCGGACGTCAGCGCAGCCAGTCTGAACGCGTTTCAAGCGCAGTGGGAGATGGCCAGGCCAGAGCAGGTCCTGCTTCTAGAACCGCAGCATGAACTGAGGTTCCGAGGTGAGTGGAGAGATTGACACAGCCGTGGACGAGCGCCTATAACGCCCAACACAAAGAGGGAGGGTCAGTTTTTAGGGGATAAGGGCAGAAAGAGGCGGTGAGATGGCGTTTCTGACAGGCCTCAATCCTTGTAGTAATAATGATAATATGGCGCAGCGCCGTAATGATACATCGCTCCAAACTAATTAGAATGACATCAAACCCCTTTCACAAGGAGTAGATTAAGTGCTGACTAGGTTTAACAGAAGACTGACTACGTTAGCTCGAGCTAGCCTGTTTAGGCCTTAAAATACAGGCTCTGCTGGTGGGCTGGTTAATTCGGTTAGTATGAAGCAGTTCAACGAGTGTTGCCATGTTCGCTTATTATTAGCGACGTTGCGTTTTTTCTTTTCTTCATACAGTCGCTTAAAAAATGGGCTGTTGCTTTTATTATCGTCTTATTTACAGCAGCGTATATTTGCTTGTTAATGTTTCGTCTACTTGCATACAAAGTGTGTATGTCGTTGTTGAGTGTTATATTTCTCTGATTGAATGACCGCTGTGAGTGAGCTGTCAAGGCGAGCGCTCATTTCTCCTCGTGTTCATTTGATCGAAGGAGAAATGCTTCCTTTCGTAAGCATGAAGAACTGGGCCGCTTATTTTGACTTCTTTCGGTCTGGCAAGTCGATTATTTTTGGCTTATTTTTTCAGAACACGTCGCATATTTTTTCTAGCGAAATCTGGCAACACTGACAACAACATACCTTGATGCTGCTTCCAGTCAGGAAGTCGTTGGCACCATTGAAAAATCACCTGTACTATTACTCCACCTGACATGGATATATTGTGGATAATAATTATGTCGTAAACAAACTTATTTAGGTATTTTTGTGAAAACAAGTTGCCATTTTGTAGACTTTTAAGGTTTGGAGCTTTTAGTCTAATGTAAGTTCATAAATTTGATGTTTACACAATTTCAGGGTTTATTTCATGGACTGGGATTACACTAATTACTGTCGACAGGAGACCAATGCTATAGTGTTGTATGTTTACATTAACATACTATTTATTAAAGGTCGTAAGAAATAAGCCAATAAGAATGCTTTGGAGGCACTGACACCTCCCATGTGACTGCCCTTTGTCAACAGGCTCCAATATTGGTTTGTTCCCAACATTTCCAAAAAATTCTTCTTTTGTGTTCCATACAAGTGTAAAAGTCATACAGGTTTGGATTGGAATGGTGTAAGGGTGGGTGAATGATGACAGAATTATCATTGGTGGACTACCCCTTTAAGGAGCTCAATGAAAGTCCATTGAGCTCAACTTTCACATTTACATTTATGCATTTGGCTGAGACTTTAATCCAAAGCAGCTGGTATTGGAATCAAGCTATACATTTTATTAGTTCTTGCATTTGATGGGAATGGGCAAAAGACCGTTTGCCTCCCTCTGAAACTTTATTTGCTAAAAAGTGATATTTCAAAATAATATCACACCGACTGATTTCCTAAAAGATGCTCTAATTTTAAAGTTTTGGCAAATCAACTTGCAATATCAGTGAAACAGCATTCCTTCTTTAGTCACCCTACCTTGGGCATATTTACATTTTTCATAAACTGTCAGTGTCAGGACACACCTTGTGAATTGTCTGGAGTTAAAGGATTAGTTCACCTCAAAATGAAAAGTTCCTAATAATTTACTCACCCCAATGCCATCCAAGATACCCATGTCTTTCTTTCCTCATTGGAAGAGAAAATATTTTTTTTGAGGAAAACGTTTCTGGATTTTTCTTCGAATAATGGACTTCAATGGACACCAACGTTTTGAAGTCCAAATCAATCAATTTAACTACAATTGTTCGGATTCGAATCCGAACAATTGTAGTTAAAAAGTGTGTATATATATATACACAAAAATATATATATATTTTTTTTTTTTGGGGAAAATGACCTATTGTTTCGCTAGATAAGACCCTCTTCCTCAGCGGCGATCGTGCACAGCCGGTTGAAGCACTTCAAGACCTTTGAAACTGCATTGATTTGGACTTCAAAACGTTGGTGTCCATTGAAGTCCATTATTCGAAGAAAAATCCAGAAATGTTTTCCTCAAACTTATTTTCTCTTCCACTGAGGAAAGAAAGACATGGATATCTTGGAGTAAATTATTAGGAAATTTTCATTTTGAGGTGAACTAATCCTTTAACCAGGGACATTTTGTAAACCTATTTAATGTTGTTATTGTTTGTGATGTCATGTCTTTAGTTGTGTAATTGTTTAGTAAGTGCTTTAAAGGTGACGCATTATGCCCCTTTTCACAAGATGTATTATAAATCTGGTGTCCCCAGAATGTGTCTGTCAAATTTCAGCTCAAAATACCCCCCAGATCATTTATTATAGCTTGTCAAAGTTGCCCCTTTTTGGGTGTGACCAAAATCGCACAGTTTTTGTGTGTGTCCCTTTAAACACAAATGAGCTGCTGCTCCCCTCCCCATTCAGAAGAGGGCCAATCCTTTACACGAGCTTCAGATACTCCAGCAATAACAAATGCGAATTTCAGTCAATCCAGAAATAACCCATAGCGGAGTGCAGCCTTACAGAGAGACTCAGGAAGAGATTTTAACTTTTAGACACACATGGACGTTTCTGAATGGTTAGTGGATACATGTTGTTGTGGAGTTACGTTGATCAATCTCATCGACTTGCATGTACTGTCATGTTTAACTTTTACACAAGTTGACGGTTCCCTGAGGTCTTTATAAGACAGCTGTGACCATTTTTTGGTCCAATAGTGTTCAGTGCTCGTCTGTGCAGCAACGACAGAACAGTTTGCATGCTTTGCTAGAACTTTTGCCATTGCTGCACTGTTGTCGCTTGAGAAAACCAAATGGCGGTAATATTATAAGAAGATCCCCTTCCTACGTCAGAAGGGGAGCGAAATCAGATCGGCTTAATTTTTGACATGCTTGCAGAGAAAGGCTTTAACCGTACGCTCACACCGCCGCCGGCGAGAGCGGCAAAATTCGCTCTCGCCGCCCTGCCAGCGACGCCGTGGAAAGATTCGTGGATGATCTGACGTAGATCGAATGCGTGGTCTTTTTTAAAAACTGTATTTAAAGGGGCCGCAAAGCAAACAAGCATGTCGATCGTTATTTTTGCAGAAAATTGATCGATGGAAACATGGGCGGCGCTAGGGAGGGGCTAGCAGGTGCTTCAGCACCCCCAAGAAAGACCAAAGCACCCCGATAGCACCCCCCAAAATAATGTCTGGAATCAATTATATTCAAATATATGTTATTTCGAGATATTAAGTCGTTATTTCAATATAATATCTCGGTATTTCGACATAATAACGGCAAATGTTTGTCCCGCCAAAGCCTTTTTTGATCGGTGACGGTGAGTGATGTAGAATAGAATGACTGCTGCGCTTGACAGGGCGCATCACGAGCAGAGAGAGAGAGCCCCGGCCGCGCGCACTCTCACGTCTTCAAACACTTCTCGCGCATATTAATCAAAATCAATTGACACTATAGTAAAAGGTCGGAAGACCGCAGTTTCATGTGGAGCATTTGGAGATTTGTTCTCCTGAATTACCGCGGTGTGTGAATTGTGCTAAAAAAACAAGTTGCCTAGCTTATCGTCTCTAAAAAGCGTTCCGCCCATTCAGCTGACCTAAACCACATTTCAATAAACGAAAAAACCTATCCAGTGATATGTTTTCTGTATTGACGCAAATCTTGTGCGATGTCCTCCTAAACTGCCGAGATAATCACACAAAGACACAAGCACTATTAGTGTAAAAAAAAAAAAATCGGTAGATTAACTAATTAGATTAGTTAACATTTACTATTAATTAACTGCACTTCAGCATTGTTAATGTTAATTGTTTCAATGTTTAGAGAGTCAGGCCCACTATATGTGTGTTGTAGCCATTAAATAAGCGCATTTAATTTCATTTTTGTTAATTTTTTTTTTTTACATCTATGCTGATTATGAAAATTGATTAGTAAGATGCGCGATATATCAGAAGATATGATGGGTTAGACATGATTTTGCCCACTAAATTTACATTTACACATTTACATTTAGTCATTTATTTTAGCAGACGCTTTTATCCAAAGCGACTCAACTGAGGACTAAACCAAGCGAGTCATCGTAAAAAGGCAAAAACAATGCAAGAAGTGCTCAAAATACCAAGTTCGGACATTGTTCGAAGTAGCATAAGCCAGACAAGCGAGGATTTAAAGGAAAAAGATTTTTATTTTTTATGTTAAAGGATAATTCCGGTATTTAACACTTTGAGTCTATTTTTTAGTTTGTTTTGGATGAACTAGAGTGGTGGACTTAGAAATTTTGACGATGGGTCCTGTCTCGACTTTTTTAATATTTTAGAATCGCCTCTGAGCGCTTCAGAGTGGATGTCTATGGGCATGCTCAAACATGTCCTTAAAACAACCCTTAACGTTCGTTTTCAAAACTGTGCAACTCACCGAGTGGTTAGTGGTGTTCGTTGATGATTAAAAACAAATATATCGGCGCAATGTATGCTTTCAATCCGTGTTATTTGCTATACTGGAACTATTTTTTCAGATACCTCACAACCGCGTATAAACTTCCGCTCGATATTTGAGTCTGAAGCGTTAGCACACCCCCGACCACTTGATGGCGACAACCACTTTGCCGCAGCTGCTCAGCTCACGCTAGCCTTCTGAGAGACGGAGAACCGAGCGAAAAGACTACAACCAAATGTAAACAGACCCCTTTCCGTTTCCGGTAGCGCAGTAATATCAACGAGCACTGAGACCTCCAGCAGACATCAATGCGATTTAAAAAAATGGCAAATAAAACTCGACAGAAACTGTATTTCGCTACGCTACTTGTTTTGGAACATCAACGAACACCACTAACCACTCGGTGAGTTGCACAGTTTTGAAAACGAACGTTAAGGGTTGTTTTAAGGACATGTTTGAGCATGCTCAGAGGCTATTCTAAAATATTAAAAAAGTCGAGACAGGACCCATCGTC